GTTAAATTCAATTGAATAGAAAGCTTATTTTTTTTGCACCTTTACTTAAATTGTTCCTTAATTTTGTCTCTGTCATTTCAATAATATTTTTTAAGAAGTTTTTAAATTGTTTTATTTTCCAGAGACAGGCCTGTATAATATATTTTCTAAAAGAAGGTTCAGTTTAACAAGTTAAAACAAAAGAAATACATAAAAAATAGTTTACTTGGTAAAATTTGCATTTCAGTTTAATTTTCAATTTTTATTCCAAATATCGTGATACATATCGAATCGTGAACATTATATCATGATACACATCGTATCGTGAGCTGAGTGTATCGTTACACCCCTATTCATTACAATATAAATGTTGTTTAAAACTTTAAGATCAGTTGGAACACTGATTGAACTAATTTACCTCATTGTGTCACAAATAGTGCATTTCACAGATTTACAAATAGTCCAGTAAAAACAGCTAATAGGGATTAGTTAAAAAAGCTTGCAGTTGTGTAAAAAACAACTGATGCCAGTAAATTTGGAGATTAAAAAAACACAAACAAACACACACAAAAAAGGCAATAACTCTGCCGTGTCTCTTGCCCTTTTCTTATCAATAGAGCAAAATACAAAGGCACAGTTAGTGATCTAAAAAGAGATTGTCACAGGTATTCTTGTTAATACATATGCTACATTAAGGCCTTATATTAGTATTAAATTACTCCCCTAAAGGGTCAAATATAACATACAATTTATTCAGTCACATTGAAAATTGTTTCATATATTTTAGTAAGGTTGAACCAGAGGTGCCTCCCATAATTTCAAGCTTTGAATACTAAAACTGACCATTAAATATATTATATAGCTTTTTTGTTTGTTTGTTTGTTTGTTTGTTTGTTTGTTTTAAAAACAAGTAGCAGTGTTGACAAAGCAGGTAAATTAACATATTCTGGTTTAATTTATGAATATGAAGATTTTTGTATTTATCCGCTTATGATGACCTACTGAAGATCACAACAATACAAAGCAACAAATAAGGAATAATTTGCTATACTCTCTATACAAGACTAGTGACATATACATGTGCCAATTACCAGCATCAAAACAAAACTGGATTAATCTACCACTGTGAATAATAAACCTAAATTAGAAGTTAAGAGGAGAAGGTGCAATGACACAGTGATACATCAAAGCTAACAGACCCACACATTCATGTGGAGGTCAGGAATATTCCTGCCAAAGGCTCAAGCAGCACAGCGTAAACAGAGGCATTAAGAAGCTGAGGCGATCAAGTCATTCACTGTCCGCACAGTGCAACGCTACAAGAGGCATGACGGTATTATGGTTAATCAGTAAACAGAATGACACACATATGGGTCAGATCTCTGAAAACTCAGCTTGAGAGAAGACTGAATTTTTAAAAGTCAAATTTCAAGTAATAATGGAATAACGTCCTGAATAATAGATAAAAACAGCACTTTTTTTTAAATTAAAAATTGGTATAACTGTTTTTTTTTTATATTCACACCCATCATTTCTAACGTCTAGCTAAAGAAGCAAACCAACCAACCGATGGACTTTGAAGAGGGTTTACACTAGGGTTGGGCATCTAAGCTATAATGCCGATCCGATACACATCTCGATACAAAGAATATGATCCGATATATTAGCGATACATTTGTGACATATTGCGATGCAACACAATACGATTCACACCCATATCATGATACAATGCGATAATTCAGCACTAACTAATTAGATCAAGTTTATGAGATTATGTGAAAGAGGATGCTGTGCCATTGAATGAGTTTGATTATTTATTAACAAAGCAAAACCAAGACTTTTTTTTACAAACTGGCTCTTCTCTCAGAGCCAGAGTGTCAGTTTACAGTAGAGGGCCATTTTAGAACATATTACACGTATTATTTAAGTATTTTCAAGATAAACAGAATGTATAAGTGCAATATATATATATATATATATATATATATATATATATATATATATATATATATATATATATATATATATATATATATATTTGCACTCTTTCAACATAAAGGTTTACCATTGCACAACAAGAATTGTGATATAACTTTTCAACTATGAAAACAAGTTTTACAAAGATATTTTGACACTGAATATTCAAAACTTAAGGTGGTGAACTAGCAGTGTTATACTGCTTTGAAACATCACTGTCACTGTAAACAACAGGCTAATAAAAATATAAATAAATAAAAATTAACAGGAGGAGGTGTTTAAAACCTTCGTTCTCCGTGACACTAGGCTGAATGTCTTTGCAGATGAACAATGCAGCAACATCCGTTATTGGCGTAGAGCGCACAAAACTGTTGCGCATGGAAAAAAACTTGCAATGCTTTTCTCACCACTTTTGGAGCTGGTAGCTACAGTTGAAGCAGTGCACGAAGCCGGGGATGCAGAAACACTGGAAGATGCTTCCACAACAACACCGAGGCGCCGCTTCAAGTGAGATTTCAGATTAGTCGTACTGCCTGTGTATTTTACAGATGCGCGGCACATTTTGCAAATTGCATCTGTCCTGTCAAGTCGTTCATCCTTAAATCCATAATGTTGCCATACTTTAGATTTAGAACTCAGTGGGGAATAAAAAGTTTGTTTTGCTTCTCGCGCTTTCTGAGGGCGCACCACTAGCTTCATCCGCACACCTGATATACTGAGTTGTAGTGTAAGTGTACACATCCGCAAGTCCGTTGCTTAAGGCATACTTTATGTATGTACTTTATGTAATTTATGTGCCAAAAACAGGTAGACAACACTTGTTAATAAATAAAAAATACATTCTATATTAAAAATATAAGTTGTATCTTGGAAAAACCGATGCATCTCGCAAAAACCGATGCATCTCGATTTGCTTCCAAAATTTCATTCATCCTTTGCTGCTCTACCGATGCACTCGCATCGGCAACAACATTCACTGATGTAATACTGATCCCAAAAAATGGGATTTTGGGGGAAATTTAAATGCATCAGTGACAGTGAGGGATTACAACATGTAATGGTCAAAAAATGCTCAACTTGAAACATTCTGTTAATGTTTATGTCATGCAAACGACTCTAATTCTTACAATTTCACACTGTTGATCACAAAAGACAAAGAGACGCTCATTTTATTATGGTTACTACTTAAATTAAAAAATAACAAACAAATGTATTTTTTTATGGATTATACTTTATATAAATTAATGAATAACTGCAATTTATTTGTTTATTTGTTTGACAAGTAACTGTCAGGACACAAGTTATGTTGACAGGCCGATTGAATGTTGTGAGCTTTAACTCTGGAAAGTACATGGCCAAAATTCTTACAATAAAAATCATTAAGACTTCTGCAAAGCTCTATAAAACTAAGATTGCCTAGTGTAAATCTCTGTAGTGTAGTTTTAATTGTGGGAAAAATATTTCATGCATCAATCATGACATTATCATGACATATCATATGATGTATGATGACAATCATGACATATCATCATAACATTCGAAAAAAATAAAAAGTGTATGTACAGCTAATAAAATGAAGCTAATTTAAGCACATTACTTACATTATCAAATATTATGCAAGTTGTTTAGTGCTTTTAATTATTAAAGAGTTTACAGCAAAAAGAAATGCAAATTATGACCAAATCATTTTCAGAATTATGTGAAAAGACCCTTTACTAGACACAAAAGGACAAAACGCTTGTAAAAATGAATTGTGTAGCTTAAGAACTATAAACTTATAACTACTTAAGAACTATAAACTATAAACCCACTGGCAGGAAAAAAAACGGCAAAAAGAAAAGAAAGAATTAAAAACATTGTGTCCTCCCTTCACATGCAAAGATGGTGTTTGTATTAAAGCCATGGCAGCAAAACACAGGCTGTTTAATGGTACAAATTAGGGCTGCACAATATAATTTCAGCATCGATATCGCAATGTGCACATCCACAAGTCACATCGCAGGATCTGCAACGTAAAATCAGGATCACAGTTGAGTAGGAGTTAAAAAAAAAAAACACACACACACGATTGTCGGGTAATTGCAAAGTTTACCCATAAACCCAAAAAGTAAAGTATTGATGGCTGGATACTTTACTTGAAAGCTCAGATGCGATTTTCATAGTTAGCTTTGTTTACAGAGTTTAAAATTTACTGTATCATTATTGTTGACATCTTAAAGTTTGCTTTGTTCAGCGTTCACACTTTACCATTGCACACACATTGTAACATTACAATTATCAAGTTTGAGACTCTCTTTAAACACTTATGTGTTAAAGTTGTGTAATGTAGATAAACTAGTAATGTTGTAAATTAAAGTAGTAATGTTGGTCAATTAAAATAAGGTGGTTATATTAAAAGAAAGTTAATTTAAAAAATCATAATATTCCTAAATGTACTGTAAAAATGCAATAATGATTGATACCAAATGATATGAAACATGATATCGTGATATTTTGTTTGCAGTATTTTCCGGCCCTAGGTGCAGCCCTAGTACAACTTAGACTGAGGTTGTAAAATGGTAAAGAAATAAATAATAATGTACATGTGTTATAGCAAAAACAGGTTTCATTTGAATGTCTGACTCATATGTTTTGATCATGACAGCTTCTTATGATTTCCCAATCTGATCAGTTTAAGTCAAGGTAGTTAAAATTGACAAAGCCTTTTCAAACTGAGCAAGTTACATATGCCAATTAATTACACCTCTAGTCACCACCACTCACTCACTCACTGCATGCTCAGGTTTTCTCCCAGGATTATGTAATAAGAACACAATGGAGAGCATTCTCTCTGCCCTAATAGAGTATCCATGTGACTCGGTAGGCAAGGACAAGTTTCTGTCCGAGCACAGGCTGAAAGCTGATGTCTGGGATTCAGCCTTGAACTTCAGTTGAGATCATCTTTGTGAAACGCATTTAGATTTTTTTCACAATTCAACCACAACAACAACTGACAAGACGCTGAACAAGCAGATTTGGTTATGAAGAAAGTTTATTCAACTCACCGGCAGGTCAACACTGACATCTGTGCCGTCTAACAAAGACACTCGACAGGTGATGATGGACTTGGCATCTCCAGCAGCTGGGATGTGTGTTGTGGCTCGCTGGGCTTCCCTGAGTCGAGCTTTCTCAGCATGTTTGCGGATGGACCGCCTGCCCAGAGTCCGGCGTAGGAAGCTCAACATGTTTAGGAAGATCTGTTAGTCCAGTCTGAAACAAAGATCATATCCATATCCATTTAAATGGATAGTATAACTTAAAGCGAAAGTGATGTTGTCATTTTCTCACCCCTAAACTGTTTAAATTTCTTTTTATGTTAAACAAAAAAGATTTTATTTTGAAGAATGTTTGAAACTGGTTGTCATTGACTTTCATAGCTTTTTCCCTCCACACTACTGTCAATGGCCCAAGTTTAAAAAAAATTCTTCAGAATGAAGGCCTTTGTGTTCAACAGAAAAAAATAAACTCCTAATAGTCTTGAAGAACATTTTCACCTTGAGGTAAACTACTCCTTTAACTAGTTTATTTGTGCTGTCTTGCCATATAGTCATGTCATAATAAAAGCACAGACTGGCACCTTTTTTGAACATTTACCTAAGTTTTTGTTAAACAATTCTAGCTACTATTATGTAAATGACATCTGAAATAAGACAAGAAAAACAAGAAAAAACATCAGTCAAAGTCAAAACATGAATGTCCTCCTAACAACATTTTGGTCCAAATTCTATAAAACAATTTTATGCGGGAAAAATTGTCTAAATCTATAACTATTAATATAGTTTAACAAACTGCAACGTTAATATTTAAGAAAGTTACCTTTATGTTTTCTTTCTGCTTAAATAAGTTAACTTACTATGACGTGTTACTGTACTACGCCTCAGGTAAACATGTAACGTTAGCGTTTCGTTGTGTTTTGTTGCAAATTATTGTTAACAAGTTATATTAATTGAAAATACATCAAATCAATAAACAAAAAACGGCAAATAATCTGAAAACATCGTACAAAAGTCATAACGCTGTTGTCAGGCGTGAACGCGCAAAATCTAAACGGTTTCATTCTTCTCACGATCACGCGCTTACTGACTGAACTCCACTGACACCTGTTAGCTCAAGAATAAACTACGTATAACTTATATTCAATGGCGGAGCAATACATCGGGTAGTTATTTAATGATACGAGGAGCCAGAAATCATAATACAACCACGACCAGAGATAAATCAAATTTTGTCCCGAGATAAAGCGCGTCCACCTCAGTGATGACCGACTCGAGCCGTCCTCGCGCGCACTGTGCGAATCCACTTGTTGATCTTCAGCCCAGAGACAAAAGCGACACTCACTGCAGATTGACGAATATCCCGCCGGTCAAACGCTCCTCAAGCAGCGGCTTTTGTCAGTAAAACACTTTGTGTTTAGAAATCTCCATCTTCTACGCCGCAGCGTGCTTCAGTCGCCGTATTTTTGTTTGAGACGAGTGTAACAGATATTCTCCCTGTCCGAAAGATAGTGGGGTGGCTGTTTTCCCTCAGGAAATGACGTCACGTAAATCCCCAAAAGTGGATTTACATTTAAAGGGCCGGTGCGAGGTGAGAATGGACTGGATGCTTTCAATGCTTACATTAAGTACGTTCTTACAACGAAATGTAAGAAAATAAATAAATAGTGTGTGTTTTTTTTAAACTGTAATCACCCAAGGCGTGTATGTCTGAAAGGCCAAATAAAAAAAGTTACCAAATAAATATCATGAAGAATCCAGTTTGACATCTCAATCCAGTTTCATAGACAGTAAATACAAAATGAGTGACAGAAATCAAAATAAACTTCTGAACGCAATCTTAATGAAATGGTAATGGAGCAATTCCATGCAAATGTCAACCTTGCCATGAAATGAATTAAGTTTTCTAAAATATTGAAACCCTTTCAGTTTTTTATGAAAGCAAGTATTTCACAGTACTTTAGAAATACTCAAAAATGTTTCTGTCAGTGTTTTCGAGCTATTATATTTGATTTATCAAAGTCACACAAGTGCCAATTTCACATGATCCGACACATCCATAACGGAGAGAAGTCATCCATGACACTTTTTTTCCTCATATATGTAAAATATTAAATAAAATCAATCATGTTTTTTCTACAGAGAACCAACTCTTATCCTTTTGATTGTCAGTATCACTTTTGGCTTGTGCAGTTCAATTCACAGAAATTTTATGTTGTATACTGCAAACTTTTTTTGGTCACATCCACAACGCATGTTTATTTTCCTTATTTAAAGAACATGTTTACAGATTGATATTTTTCTGATCTTATAACTCTGTGGTCAGTTGTTCTGGAAAATATAAACAAATTGTTCAATATAATGTTAACATATACTTTTTATGTGAACTGACGTTTTGAGTTTTTACTGCAAATGTCACATTCATAATGCTGGAGTTGCTCAATGGATGACCAAATTAACACACTATGGTATTTATTTGCATTACCAATTCTACCTTCTTTGATGTTGTTAGTGATATAAGAAATTAATCATTCAGAATCATGTCAATTTTATAACTAAGTATTATAACATTTAAATATTGAATGTAGGTATTGATTAGTCTCAAAAGCTTAAACCAGTTTGAAAATGTTTACTTAAAATCAACAAACCCTAAAACTAAAATATAATTTGCAGGCATTTCAAAATGAAAAAAACTTTTAACAGCAAATGGTTGTTGTATGTATATTTAAAACATGTCAAATAATAAAAAAGCAAGTGTAAATCTAAACTCAAGACTCAACTAAACAAATAAACAAACTTTCTAGTTACAACATAGCTCAGTCAGGTAAAGGTGTGCAGCATATATTTTTTTCCAACAGCACCACCAACTGGTAACTGAAGACGTCAAACTGCTGTATCCTCACAAAAGATCGTGTCAAGATCTTGAAGGAAGTAATTAAATCACTCAATGTAACCATGCACACAAATCTCAACACATCCTTACACAAACCAACCCATATCACACAACTTATTTTTATTTAAAAGAGTTTCTTTTTAATATACAACCTTGTATGTACACTATAATATTTTCATAAAAATGGACAAGTGGCACAAACTTGACCTTCCTGTTATTTTCAGCAAATAAAACGTTAACACCAGTCTACAGTTGTACATCTTTTGTTGAAAAAGTGCTGTCTTTCCCACAAGGTAGAGGGCCTGTATTTTCTCCCAAATTGCATGTTGTAATCCTGTATTGAATGTCTTTTGGTGTAACCTGTAACATGTTGAGCATAGAAACACATTATTTGGTCCTAAAACCAAGGTTCTCCAGCAAGTGTGATCACAACAAAAATGACAAATGACTGACTGTAAAAATAGATAGTACCTTAGAAAAACTACATGTATGGACAAATTCAGCTCTGCATGTAACTAGAGATAACCTGTTAAACCGGACAATGCATCACACATTTCATTCGAGAGCGTTATGATTAAAATGTCTTAAAACAGCAACATCTTATCACGAGAAACCAATGTTATTTTGTCAAAATAGATGCAAATGCTGGATTCAATGGATTCTAAACATGTGATCGAAAAACTAGGGCTCAATTAAATAAATGAAATATAATCAGATGAATGAACCAGATGTGTTAAACCAGGCCATTATTTAAAAAAAAAACACACACATACAGACGGCAGAAACATACAGTAATAACACATACTGGACACACTCTCCACGTGCTAATGTTAGGGGGATATTCTGCAATGCGCAGTCTGCTGTAAGAAACAAACAGGTCAACCATGAACTCCAACACACTAATGCTTTTGCCACACTGAGGTGTGTAACATTCATTTAAAACAACACAAGAAGCAGTTCTAATTTGCAACATATAAACATTACATCACCTACAGAGGACATTAACACCCTTTAACTCATTTTAAAGGCTCGCAGAGTTCATTTTTAGGGGAACGTCTGCATTTGGACTGATCTAATATCTGTTTTTGAAACAATTATATTCCATATTTAAATTTAATGTCGAGTTTGTGGCTTTGAATTTATATTTTACACACAGTTTCTTACATTTTATAAGCAAATGGGAGGAATATTTCCAGTAATTAAAATTCAATGTCAGTCTTTTTCTCACTCAAAGCTATTGTTTGGCTTTAAAAAAGTGTAGTAAGGTATGTTGCTATTAAGTTGCAGGCTTTCACTGAATGCAAATGAGCAGAATTAACATTTTTCAAAACATCTCCTTTTATGTTCAATCGACAAAAGAACATCATATGGGTTTGGACAGACATACAGATGAGTAAATAAATCACAATACTTTCATTTTTAGATGAATCCTTTAAGAGACTGAACTGATATTTTGCATTGAATCTGTTATGCAAAGCGCTTCAGTCTCTGTTGATAGCACTGAAGTTTGACAGCAATATAAATAAAACAGTTGAAAGAAAACAAACCAAACAAAATCATCATGAAACACCAGTTTGATGGGTAAGTAGTTACGCTGAAGGAGCAGGGCTCAAAAATTAAAACTAAATAAATACTCTTAATAAAAAAACACAAATGTTCATCTGCAGCACAGGCCAGGGTGTGAATCATTTCATGGGTGGTGTTTGTCTCAAATAATAGGTGACCACATATAAAAACACTCATTCATTCACGGGCCTGCCCTTACACACTTACATATGGCACCAGCAATCTACTATATTCATTTTTATTAACATGTATTTGTCAAAACCCTGAACACTCCAGTCCCGACAAGTACCTATTTCACCATTTTGTTCTGTCCGTTCTTCCTCCTCTCATTGAAGCCTGGCATAAAGTCCCTTTGCCGGCCTAAAGTGCAGCAGTGCTTGGTTTATGTCCTGTGTTCCTGGCTTCTGACTCTTGTCCATCACTCCGTCACAGAGGAGGACAAGGTCCTGTCAGTGAATTTCAGCATGATTTTGGAGGGGAAAGCTGGCAGGGCATTAGTTGGATTCGTACAGAATGGACTTGAGCGGTTTGACCAGGCCCTCCTCGTAAACTTTCAGTATGGCCTCGCACACAAACTTGAACTGGCTCTGAGGAGGCAGAAGAACACAAGTAGATGTTAGACGTGTCAGTCAGTCAGTCAAGGAAGAATGGCCGAGTGTGATGGCAGAGGGTCAAACCATCATTGACTGGGTTTTGACACACGCATACATAGTGCTCAGCATAATTGAGTACACCTCATTTTGAAAATGAATATTTGTATCCATTTCTCAGTGAATATATTGGTGCATATCAACAAAACAGATTTATAAAACAGATTTATTTATTAAAATAATCTTTAGTCACCAAACATATTTAGAAATTGAAAGATAATACAATTAAATTCAAGCAAGATATTGCAAAAAAAAAAAAAAAACTACAAAATTTCAACATGTTCTTGGTTCTCTTGATTTGTATTTTATATGTTTCTATAACATATAATTTGGGTGTACCAGTTTTTGGACTGTTATCTTAAGTTATTTTGTTAGATAAGCTCCAGATTTGTCTTCAGTACTGACTAATCTAATGTATATGCACAAACATAATATTGTATAGCTTCCTATTAAAAATATGAATTTAAAAGAGAGATTTGTGAGGGGTGCACTTATATATGCTGAGCACTACAACCACTTTTTCCAAAGCTATTTGGGTTTCCTTTATCTGTTGAACACAAAAAAAAAGATGCATTGAAGAACGTTTAGTGAAAACGAGCCATTGCCTAGTATTATTTTCATGCTAAAAGTTTAGAACAACTTTGTGTGAGTAAATGGTGGGGAATTTAGAATTTTTTGGGTGAATTATCAATTTAAGAAACAGACATCAGCTGGGATCCCATCACCCTGTTTTAATAACCGTTTTGAAGTAGCGTGTAACAACATTGAAAGATTGAAATGTGAAATTCAAATAAAAATCCCTTAACTGACACAAATGTTTTGGTGGATCCAGAAACAGCTTTGCTAAAGAAACTTTGACATAGTTAAAAATTACATGACCAATCAGCTGTTTCTGCCTTGTTTACTATTGTTTACTTGGTTGTCAAAACTGCAGCTAGTCAGTCACAACTTGATTGAAACGCACATAATTTGCTTTTTTTAGTTTGCTTTTTCTTCACATTATAATGGAAACCCAGATAATAAGATGTAGACAGAAATAAATAAATTTCAAAAACATTGTTTATGCCTCTGCTTCAAAAGAAGTCAAAAAATGATCACATAGCAAGTGAAGCTAGAGATGAAAACAGCAGAAAATTCGATTCAAATAATTCAGTTCAAAAGTATATTAATTTAAATAAAGTTGACACTTACATTTTACATGCTTTCTATATTGAATAACATCCAGTCTTAGATCCATATTAATAAAAAGATAATTTTGCCATTTAAATTAACCATTTTCTGTTTTAATATATTGTATAACAACAGTTTTCAATTAACAATAATATTATGGAACCATTATCAATGTTTCTTCAAAATATCTTATTTCATGTTCCACGAACGAAAGTAGCTGAAACATTTCTGAAACAACATTAGAGTAATTATTTATTTAATAATTATTTTATTTTTTATTTGGTAATTTTTTTATTCTTGTAATTTGTAAATCTTTTATATTTTCAGTAGCCATTTGGGAATCTTTCTAGTTTGCTAATTCGGTGCTCAAGAAACATGTATTATCATTATTATCATTAATATTATTATCATTTTCATCATCATCATTATTATTATGCCTAAAACAGGTTGTGCTGTTTAATATTTAATTTGTATGACAAAAAACATATTTTTTATAATAATGTAAATGGCTTTATCATCACATTTGATCATTATAATGCATTCTTGTTAAATAAAAGCCAATAAACCATACCTCCCCCAAACTTTGTAATGATGTATGAGCAATAAAAATAGTGCAACTCGACAACACCACTAATGAAAAAGTACAGAAATGGCACGTAGTACACAAGTGTCTTCACTAAGCATCAGTCTTTTCTCCTTCTTGCCGTCTAATTAGTGTGGTTTCATGGTCAGCAGCCTTTGGGCAAGACAGGCCTCATTAAAGAGAGCAGATCATGATGAAATCACAGCTGCACCATTGTCTCAAGCTCTGGGAGTCTCGGCATTGACAAAACCTGCTGCTACAGCAACTCTAATTCACATTTTACATGCGGAAACATCACAGCATGCAGCTGAATGCCAAATCTGACTCAAAATGTCCCATCAAAACCATTTCTGTGTTGTTTATTTATTACATTATCTGCATTTAACATTTTCCATCAACATATGGAAAGACAAAATATTTTTTTCAGCCTACTGGAAAGAAAATACACTGTTAAGTGTTTCTTTCTCTGTCAAACTTTTATTATGAATTTTAATTTCAACTCATATGTTTAAAGGACATTTTTTGAAATTAGTAATTGTATATTCTCCTGCACAGAACCATAAATCTCAACTTAAGCAGCACTTGCATACTGTACACAAAAGTTAACAGATTAAATCTGTTCTAAATGTTTTATAGAGGGATATTTTCCAACACAATATGCCTTTTTATAAAAGAAAAGAAAAGCTAAACTAACTTAAACTCAATGCATAGATGTTGTGACAAGTCCAAGTGCTTCTTTTACCCTCATGTAAAGCCACTCTGGATAAACATATGCTAAATAATATATATAATAATAATAATAATAATAACAATAATAATAATAATAATAATAATAATATATATATATATATATATATATATATATATATATATATATATATATATATATATTTATTTATATATATATTATATTTAATATATATATTTAATATATATATATTTTTAATTATTTTAATGTTGATTTCATCCAAAGATCTAATTTCTATACTAAAAAGATATGCATATTATGGCTTATTTGGCTTGTGAAAATACTTTATTTGCACATTTAAGCATAACATTTGACACATTTTTTTGCTATTCGTAATGTGATGAGTCAGCTGGGAAAGTATGATGATAATTACAGTCATTATAGTTAATGTTTGTATCCCTTTCACCTGCAGTGTCTTTATATTTATATATTAATAAACTCTCAAGGACAGGGGTTTGACAGACACAGAGGCTTCTCGGGACTTACAGGCGTCTGAATCATCATGGCCCTCTGATCCCGCATGGTTCTCACTATTTCTAATGGAAACACCGGCTGACTGCACTCCATCAGACACATGGCTGTCTCCATTGTGATGAGAACTCCGGTCCGACCAATCCCAGCACTGGGACACAACAGAGGGGAGCAGGAAATGGTACAACAAGACTTGATTAGACTGTAATTCACTCCAGATAATTACAATAAGAAATTAATAGATATGTGGATTACCTGCAGTGGACCACCACAGGCTCATCCTTCCCTGCTCGTTTATTCCGGACCAGAGCCACAAAATCCAGGAAGTCTGTTGAATCGTCTGGTACACCGTGGTCAGGCCAAGCCAGATACTGGATTTGGGTCAGTTCTCTGCTCTCTCCACTCTAACAGCACACAACAGAGCAGCAAGTACAAAAATACCCCTGTTAGACTCACTGTAAAAAGTGCTGGGTTTCACACAATTCCTTCATGCTGCTTCTACACCAATCAATTAAGTTAGCTTAACTGTTTATTCAAGAGAATTGTACATTAAATTTTAAATAAGGAGTTTGAACAACCAGCAAAAATCCTTTTTTGAGTGCTGGAATGAGGACAAATGTTAAATATTGTAGACTAAATGTTGTCCAATGCAAGTAAACTTAATGATATTGTACACCTAAACATCTTTAATTAACTATTTTAACTTCACTTCCATACAAAACAACGGTAGTCAACATTTGAAAATGATCAAAAATATCATCAAAGTTGTCCTAAAATTAATCAACATCTGTCTTTTTCACAATTTTGATCAACTTCAAATGTAAACTACTGTATTTATTCTTGGGAACAAATGTATTTTAAACAAACATTTTTATTCTATTATCATTTACTCACCCTCATGTTCTTATAAACCCTGACAAAAGTTGAAAAAGCAAATCAAAATCCCTGACAAAATCTTCAGAATAAAACATTAAGTAAAATCTGACATATTTCTGTCCCTCCACTGAAAAACACATCAGAACCCAAATGACACAACCGCTCCACAATGCAACTCTCTGTTTTGATTGGCCTTTTAATCACATATAACACTTGATCATTCCAATTTACAGAATTCAATTTTGGTCACAGAATCGTAAGCATGGTTGCCTGATGAGCAAGAAGCAATGAGGATCCTTTTTACATGTAGTGCAGTACGTCTGAGTTTCGGCATGAAGCAATGAGGTTAGCTGTGACTTATTGATTAATATTATTATTTTTTTTTCTATCTCATAGGCTGCATTTACACTGCAGATGTTGATGGTCAGTTCTAATTTTGTGACTGTATCCGATTTGTTTTTTGCTGACCAGCTTACATAATCTTTTAAAAGTGACTCGCATCCGATTGTCTGTAATTACACAGCACATGGCAAAGGCCATGGAAATGACCAGGAAAAAAAGAGCGGGTGCTGACTGATAACCGATAATAAAAGTGTGCGCTTTTCTCCATTCCTGTTTTTGATGTGTTTGCAGGGTTTCATTTTTTCAATTCCTTTTGACAAGTTGTTTTACTTTAGTTTATGACAGAAAAAAATATCTTCTTTTAATTTAGGCCTTTTTAAAACTAGTAGGCATCTTAATGTAATGTCCATGGTGTGATTTATGCATGTGACGTATGCCAGTTTTATAATAGTTTATATTGGTTACGTTGCAGATATTATTCTCTCTCTCTCTCTCTCATTAACATTGATAAATACTTGTGCTACAAAACAATAAAAAAGCTTTTTTACTCGTCGTATATGGGTATAAGGTTTGGGACTCTCCTGAAGTCTGTTCTGAAAAGAAGGCGTCAGACTTGATGTCATTCGCAACAGTTTTGAAATGATACACGACTCGCATTGTCAGGTTAAAATCCGATCTATCTGCTTACACTGCAGACAGAGGAATGGATCCAATTCAAATAGAATAAATTTCCACATATGAACAAGGCCTGAATCTGATTTAAGTCAATCGGAATCCATGCGATTTCTTCCTGCTTGCATGTACAAGGGCCATACCCCATCTGTGCCACATGACAGAAAAAAAATCTGTATTGAGTCACTTTAACCATGCAGTGTAAATGCAGCTATTAGAAATATTTTGGAAGTGTTTTTTTGATATACTTTTAGTGGAAAGAAAGAAATAATTCTGAAGATGAACAAATATCTAATTGATTTGGATTGACATGAGGTCGAGTAAACAACAGCAGTATTACTACTGGCCAAAAGAGAGCATGCTATTTCACGCAAGAGCCAGTCCTATTTCTACGGTCACTTCTGTGGCTTGGTCAAGCCCCATCAGTGCATTCTTATGGCAAACACCCAGGGGTTTTGGGGCTGCAAAATATCTTGGTCCAACTAGGGCTTAAAAAGTGGTCATGAACAAAGAAGTTTAGCAATGTAGAGGCATGTTGTTCTTACGTTTTTCTTTAAAGGTAGAGAGTGTTTTGAAGTAGCACTGGTCCAACAGTGGAAGTGTACAGTAGCCTATTTTGTAGCCTCACAACCTGAAGTGCTAGGAAATTAGCACAACCCGTCTCTAATAAAATGACTAAGTCTGTGATAAGCTCACCTCAATGTGAGTAAGTGTTATTTCCCGAACCAAGAAAGCAGAGTTTCCCTCTTCAGTCTGGCAGGAAATCTGAAAGCCGCCGTATGTAGCGCTACCTGAGGGGTTCGGCCAGTACTGATGGCACTTGACCTGCAGTAAAAAGTAAATGAGTTATGAAAGCTCGAAAAGCAAACAACAAGACCATCACATAATCCTCAAAGGTCAAAAGGCATACATACACGTCCTCGCTCAACCTGAGTAGTAAGCATGACTACCATAGAAGAGCCCTGCTCCCACGTCATCTGCCAAAAATCAGAGCACGTGTTGGGCAGAGGCCCCTGGCAGGCGATATAGCGGTTTATGAGACTGCAGGCAGGGATTTCCATCTGTGAACATGACAGAACACATTATGAAAGGCTATTTATCACAGCGCATCTTTCCTGGGGTACTTGAGATTTTAGTGAGATAATAGAATAATTATGAGTCACTCACGTTGATGTAATTTGCATTGATGTAGTCTTCTGTGCCTTTCAGAATGACTCGAGTTGCATCATCTGACAGAAAAACAACAAAACAGACTCATGTTTTATCAATGACACTTGTTATTAGTACAAAGGAAAGGAGTGCAGGTATACTCACAAGGTGAGATGTCTCTGTAGCGGTTTTTGGAAATATTCTGAGGTAATTTGGCACATGACATTGTCATTCCAGGCCTTTTACGATACAATTGCTTTTAAAAGAAAAGAAAAAAAGTAATGTTAAATAATAGACTAAATCTTTAAGTCTGACCTTTCGTATCATTTCAGAAATGTCACACATTAAACATTTCCCTCACAAATCGTGATATATTTTTGAACAGTGTGCAAACTCGCTTTACCTGCACATCAGCGGCAAGCAAGAGTAAAATGACAGCGGTGAGGTGCACCAAAAAAAACACAAACTGTGCAAATACTGCAAAAAGACGTTTACTTGCACTACCAGAACACAAATATGATGCATTAAACCATCAGCACAGTGAAAAACTACTGTCACAGACTTCTATACGCAAAAAAAAAACTCTTAATAAGCTTGCTCTGACGAGTGCTACAGAGATCATACAGTGCATCAGTGTTTTCATAGTGAAAGTGTGAAGATGTTTTTTAGACTGAAAGAAAAAGCTATTCTGATACAAGACCAGATATTAGAATATTTTTACCTTCTACTTTTCAAATTAGTTTATGCATATTTTAATTAGTTGCTTATTGTTACTGAATATTTAAAAATGTTAAAGATGATCTCTTCTTAGGTGTCTCACACCTTCATAATCATGTTCAGCTCCTGTCTCTACCCTACTATATAATAGGTAATTTTATAATCAGTATTTTTATGCCTGTTGCCAGTCCCCAATTTATTTATGGCAGAAAATGTACTATTTTGCAAAAAATGTGCAGCATTTAAGAAAAAACTGAAAGGGCTCTTCACCTTAAATTTGTTTCAAATAATATTGTTTAAAAAATTGTGACTAAATTGTAAATTGTGAGAATAATATCATGAATCGTATCGAATCGTGAGTCAGGTGAATTGTTACATCCCTATTAATTATCAATATAAAATAATAATAATAATAATAATACATAGTAATACAAATATAAGCATGATTTAGCGTACCAAAATGTAAAACCTTTTCAAAAATTGGACTTTTCAACCTAAGCACAGGTGTTTTGCAAAAGACCTGATTGCACCACTCAAAGGGACTAAGCCGAAAAGAAAATGAATGAATGAATAATCTATGGCATTTATGCATTTTCAGCACACACCATGTTTGTGCAGTCTAGAACCTTTATCTAAAATAATGCAAGTGTTGATTGACTGTAACTCCACACATATACCAACAGATATTAGGGCTGCTTGATGAAAGGCAGGAAGTAATAGGAAATTAATTTGATATGACTGCACCATGAATAACCCTGATTGCTGTGAATTTCAGAGCATGCCGTAAAAGAACCATTTAGATGACAATTGGATATGAGCTGCATTTTTTTTGACAACAGAGAACAGAAGTCAAATTATTATGCAGCTCACTGTTGGTAATCAGAGTAGAATCTTTTGATTTTGATTGAAAAGATGCTTGAATGTTTTTGCTGCTGGTACAAAGCATGAGCTTCATTAATATTCAAAAGACTGATTTGGTTTACTCACATCAAACTGGGCCAGTATAGTACCGCTGTTGAGACCCTCCTTTAAATACAGCATTGAGTCTCTCCAGGCGTCCTGGTCGAGGTGAGATGGGTCTGTAGGAGATTTTTCAGGGATATACTGGAAATCTGGCTCTGTCTCCAGCTTTTCCTCAACAACATCATAGATTGCTACATAGGGAGAGACAGTTATTATGAAAGTTATTGTAAACTCTACAAGGACAAGTGATCATTTTCCCCCAACAAATGCCAGAAAAAGTATATAAATGCAATCAAAATAATTATATTTGTCATTTAAATGTAAAATATATGTTCGTAGTTTAAGGTTTATTATCAAGTTATTATTAAATCTAAAATGGGTCATGAAATGAAAAATCTAAATTCCAAATAAAACCATTCTGGTTTCAGGTTTTTGTGCAATAATGTGAGGCTAACCCATGCCAAACTCAAACATTAAGTCAAAAAGTCCAAAAGTTATTAAAAAAAAAAATGCAGTTGATGTTCTCTTTAATACGTTACTATAACTGTATTACTTTTGACAGTAGCTAATACTGTAATCCATAACTTTTTAAAACATAATAACTCCATTATTGTTACAATATAATGCGTTTGTCCGTTATTTGGTAAGTTAATTAATTTTGTCTACAGTCTAGCCCACATCTTTTTGTTTACAGCGGCATCACATTGTGGGATTTGTGGATGCCAACCAACCACAGCAGAGAAGACACGTCATATATGAGGCACGAAACTGGACAAAAGTCAAGTGAAAGCAGAGACCGAATGATTGCAAGGTACACAGATTGTGCAAGCGAGAGACCGAGAGACTATTAAAGTTAAATTAAGTTTAATCAGGTCAAATTAAAAAGTTATATCAATATTATTAATTACTATTATATTAAGTTATATTAATTACTATTACTAACATAAATGAAAATGAATAAGCACACATTTGTTATCTGTATAACAAAATTGTTTAGTTTAGTAGACACAGTGACGCATTTATATTGTTATATTTCAGAACATGTTATTTAAATTTATAGTGTTGTATTACAGAGAAAATGCTGTAATTTATTTTTTATTGTTTTAATATTTTTATAGCTGTTATACACCAGCAGATTTTGCACTTTGAATATACACCGCTTACTTTCCGTAAGTTGCTGACATACAACGTTTAATTTGTGGTAAGTTTGAAAATTGCTCATAGATTTGATTTTTGAGCAGCTGTTATGTTTTTATTTTGTTTAAAATGCATAAAATCGATGGTTGCCAATAATAAAAGTTTTGGTGCTGAGTTTCACCAAATTGATTCTGAATGATAATTTAGATTGCTTTCATTTATTTATTTCATAAAGGTTTTGTGTTTGTTGTATATTGTTGCTAGTTTTCATACTCACGCTGTGAAATAACATGTTTAGGGTTAATACAGACTTTTTGGTGCTGAAGCAACTTTAGTTTTGGCTTTTTTGTTTCTGAATATATTACTCAGTTGCTGCTGGTCTGACTTAAATGAGTGTTTAAAAATTACTTTTTGTTAAAGTCTGTATTGTGTTTGTTGTGAGAATGCAAATTAGTTAAAATTGTGAAGTTGATCAACAGTGTAATGTCCATGCAGCACTGAAGTGACATTATAGGGCATTAATGGGGGTATAAAAAATTACTTTTAACAGTAATTAATTACTTGAGTTAATTAATTAATTGAGTTACTTTTTAAATGAAGTAACTAGTAACTGTAACTAGTTACTGTTTTTCAGTAGCTAGCACAACGCTGCTTGAAATTAAGGAGACACATTTTGTTTACACAAAAATAGCTTATCACTGATATTTACATAATCATAATGGTGTCTGTGATAAACAACTTAGAGTAAAAAATCCAAAATGTTAGGGTTCAGAATTATTTACACTCTACTCATTCATTAATTCTCAAAAACTCAAGTGTTTTATTCAGCATGGATGCATCAAAAGGTCTGTAGAATGTATAGAACTGCTACTCTATAAAAATGTATACATTTTTATAAAATTTTAACTTCACAATAATATTACTTTAACATATTAATACAAATGTTTCAATATTACTAACAGCTATAATATTAACAAGTCATAACAATTTGAATTATATTTATAATTAATCATAATAATAAATTGCTATCAAAGAAATAAATAACATTTTAAAACAAATTCAAATTTCAATTGCAATTAGATTTCACAAAATTACTGTTCTAACCGGATTCAAATCAAACAAATGCAGCCACAGAGAGCATAAGAGACCTCTTCCAAAATCCTCCCACCCTAGACTTCTGTAGTCATTATTCAAAGGCAGCAGCAGTGTGTTAATGAGGCCGGGGCTCACCATTGGGCCGCACCAGCAGAATGAGCTCCCCCGAGTGGCTTTCACAGCTGGCCTTGATGAACATGACCACCTGATCATGTGAATGCTCTGCAATTTCCCGACCGTTGATCAGCACAACCTGATCGCCCTCGTTCAGTCGGGGGACACACAAATCAGCCTACAGAAGAAACACACATGATTGGACCCAAGTTCTGTTATTATTTTTTCATCTCATCATTTACACACAGAGACAGAGACAGATACACAGACAGAGACACAGACAGAGACACAGACAGAGACACAGACAGAGACACAGACAGAGACACACACACACACACAGAGACAGAAAGACAGACAGAGAGAGAGAGAGAGAGAGAGAGAGAGAGAGAGAGAGAGAGAGAGAGAGAGAGAGAGAGAGAGCGAGAGAGAGAGAGCGAGAGAGAGAGGGGGGGGGGGGATTCTATGGCCAATTTTGAATGAAAGTAAAATAGATCAATGCATAAAAACTGACAAACAGGACAGTTCACTTCTAATCCTATAGGGGTCGCTCCTCAATATGTCATTTCTTATCACCTCCTGCTTTAATCCCAGCTGCCCTATAAAGGGTATTATAGCAGTATTTATGGCAATAAACAGTTTATTAGACATACCGATGTTCCAGGCGCTACTCGAGACACAATAATTGGCATCTTTTGATCAGATCCACCCTAAAGTGAAAACAAAGAAGAGGGAGAGGTTTCAAAGGCAATGGGAAGTTTAAATATCAAACAATCATTCAGAGAAAATGACAGGAGTAGGTCATTTTACCTTCACATTAAACCCAAATCTCCCGTTCTCATCCGGCTTCATCTTGATCAGGACAAGATTGTCATGAGGAACGACTCCATTGGGCTAATGTGAAAATAAATAGAAATTATTTCAGTTCTTCCATTTCAGTTTTAAATCAATTTAACATGGCACGTTGCTCTTTTTTTCCTGTCTCATTTACATTAGCTTCATTTGAGTACATTCTAGCTTGTTTTTTTTTTCTTTAAATGATGTATGACTTTGCATAGATGTCATATGCCTTCACATTTCTGATCTGTTCAAACAAGTTTCAAATCTTCCTAAGCCATTTTACTGGCACACTTCTATTGGTGTGGCTTTGAAATTCTAGATTATAATTCTAGATTCTTTGGTTGTAGATTAGAATGGTTTAACAAATAAAAATTCACTTCTCAATTCACTTCTAAATTGTCATCTTAGCCTGCTTCTGAATTATACAATTAAAGACAAAATATTTTTTATTTCCTGTGAAATTAACACTTTTGCATAATATTTAGCTAGTTTTTTTTTTTTTTTTTTTTTGCAAGATTGAGCTTAAAGTGTCATTTAAAGGCTTAAAGGGGTGGTCCAGAGTGTATTTTTAAGGCTTGGTTGTGTTTATGGGGTGCAAAGCAATGTGTGCTCATGCTTTATTTGTAAAAAATGAAATAAAATCACAATATTTTTTTTTCATAAATCTTTCATTATATTCAGCTAAACATGAAACCGACTGCCATATTTCCTTGTTCCTCCAAAGGGCCACCCTCAAAAGGCTTTGATTGGTCAGCTAACATAATGTCCTGTGATTAGCGGATCGTTAATGCTAGAAGCTGTGCATGTAATAGATCAATTTTAACAATTAAAAACACTTACAGGTCGTGACTCACAATCCACAGCTTTGTCTGTTATGGTTGGAACTGTATCTTTTTTGAAGAGTTTTTTAGACAAATCCAGCTCTGAACTGAGATGCACTGTCCTATGTCAAATGCTAGCTATATCTTTTTTATAATTCTCTGGAACATAATTTAAATTAAACTGTAAGCACTTCTCTCTTTGTGTTGTGTCCTTTTGGAAGCAAAATACAGAAACAGATCAAGCTCTGTGGAAATAGCAGTGTTTGGACACGCCTCTGGCCACGCCCCTTCACTGTGCATGGTGAATGCGTGTAACCTGAAGCGATGTTTTTTTTTTTTGCAGTCCTCGAACTTTGTTCGCTGTATTCTTTGCTAAGCTAACTCTGTAAAAGCCAATGTCTTTCTTTGCATTAAACTTAGATCGTCTTGCATTCAGAGATGTTGTTTATGCTCACAGAGCTCCATTACACATCAACCAAAGCTTAAAAAAGATATCATAGTGGACCACCCCTTTAAATAGTTTAACCAGGTAGATTGGCGCCATTAGGCAATTCACTAGACAACACTGGTTTGTTCTGTAGCCAATCGAATAAAGATAAACTCTTAAGGGGGCTAATAATATTGACCTTAACATTTTTTTACTTTTTAAACAAATATAAACTACAAGTATTTTCCTAACCAAACTAAAAATAAGACTTACTTTTTCACATTTGGTCATGTAAAAACAAAGCACATCAAACAGCATTTGAAGTATAAATGCTACTGTACATCATTTTGTATTGCTATTAGTTCCCACATTTGCCTTTTTATCCATACTAATAAAACAAGCCCTTTAAAAGATGAACTCTCACAAAGGTAGTGAAAATTATTTATGTGCAAAGAACTGCCTGCACCAAACTAGCAAGTGTTTTATTACTTTAGAGAGTGCCATCAGTGGTGTGCCACAGAAGGGAGGGACACTGGACTATTAATGGCAACTTTGGAAAGAGGAACTACAAAGTAGCACAGACAGTCTGGGTCGACTGAGTCACCAGATGTATTCTTACCATGACCTTGTCGGTTGCTGTGGGGACATCGTACATTTCGTTGATGTGGTTGTCCAAGTCCTGTTGGGAATGGGACAGTATGAGCTGGCTCAGGTTCTTCCGGGACTGCTTGGGTGGGAGGGCTGGTGGTGGACCTTCAACACCTTCTGGAGACCTGAAAAATTTTATGAATTGATATATACATATATATATATATATATATATATATATATATATATATATATATATATATAAATCTCAATACAATATATGCAAGTATAAGAACTTCATTTTAAAAAAGCAAAGAGCATCAGAAACATCTGATCACAAATCTCATTTTGTTTTCAACAAAAACATTAACTCTTAAAGGGTTAAAAAGACCTGTGTGTGAGAACTTTATTCATGTCCATTGAAAGTTTCATTTTTTGCATTTAAAAAAGTTGTAATGCTATTTATTCCTCAAATAAAAATTGGCATGAGTAAATTCTAGGTTGATAAATTAAGTAAATTTTTATTGTAGAGTGAAATATCACATTATTAAAATGGCATCAGCATATTCAGTTTAATTCAAGACTAAAAATAATAATGTTTTGAAAAATTGTCGTTTCAATTTAAGATGCTTTGTGTTAATTGTATGATATGAGTTATTACTGTAAATTAATGTCCACATGCGAACAATGTACAGTTATAATAGTTATTATATATATTATATGCTATTATATTAGTAGTGTCACGCATTCATTAACTTTAAACCCATTTGCTGTAACCCCACAATTTTACACTTGAAAATTATAGGTGCATAGTATAAATATTCAAGATAAGTTAAGTTATAGTCAAGAAAATTAAGTAATTGGAAAAAAAAATTATATATACTGAATGACTACTGAATTTGTTAGTTTTGTATGTTATAGTCAAGATAATTAAACAATTAATAAAGGGTTAAATATCCACTAAATGTTTTTTTTTTTTAAGTTAGACATCAACCTTATTCATCAAGTATTCTAATATTCTAAGTATTCATCAATATTTACATTATTAGTCATATAACCAGAATAAAAAAAAAATTGTTAATGTATATTTTCTAAATTTTATTGTAAAAAGCATATTGGGTTGCTAAAAAGTGTAGACTATAATAACAATGATTAACAATGATAGAGTTATCTGATAACTCAATATGTGCAATTCACCTTTATTCCTCAAGGTGGCAAGGTGATGTTTCACTTACACTAATAAATGACAAGGAATTTAACAAAAAAATGATAATGATTCAAAAATAAGGTTTAAAACATTAAAATATGTATTTGTTAGTTTTGCATGTTGATTTAAACCAACAAATGATGATTTCCAGTTGACTTAACTGAAAAATGAAGGTAACAAGCAAAAAGACATTTTGAACGTCAGATCAAATGACTCAAAACTTTCAGATTTCTGACTTCAAAAGTGAGGTGGATTAAGTGCATGATTTCACTTTAGTTTCTCTTTTTCAGTATTTTTTAATCAAATAAATAAGGCAACATTTCAAGCAGAACTAACAGCCATCTTGTAAGTGATGTCAAATGATGGGTGCTTCTCAATATCTTATCCTACTCTATCCTATCCAATGACCTAAACTGATCGAGTTCAGCCATCTTGTATGTCATCTTAACTCTCGCATCACAAGACAATGAGGAATGAGGAGAGAGGAGGCTTCCTGAGAAGTTATGAATGAGGATACACCGGTGCATCCTTTGCGGAAGTCTTTGTAAACGTGACGCATGTTGTAAATTTTCCTCCCCTTCACATCTGCACCAATAATAACTACAGCAGAAAATACAAACACACATTAATGTGCATGTGAAGCATGAAGTTATTGTATATGTGGGTTATGTTTTTACAATTCCTTTCATTTTGATATATAACTACTTCTGACAAACAAAAAGCAGTTATTAACGCTAATTAATTCATTGTTAATAATAACTGGAAAAAGAAGCACAGACAAATGTGGTGTTTTGTAGAGGTGGACACTATTACAATATAAATAACTTTCTCTAATATTAAAGAATCCTGACGTGTAAGCAAAATCTGTGGTGTAGCTCAGGGGTTCCCAACCTTTTCAGCCCGTGACCACCAAAATAACAATGCCAGTGACTCGCGACCCCATTTCTTGATGGTTACAGATATACAAATGTTGCGCACACAACAATAGGCCTGTATAAAGACGAGCATATTGACGACTCAAAAAAGTGCAACAGTCTAATAATTATATATATTTTATAGTTATTTATTAATTCGTTTAATTTAACATTAACCTCACCTAAAGAGACTGATGGACACATTTTCAGCACAAGTCTATACTTGGTTTAAGCCACTCAGAGATCATTCTTAATGTTCAGTTGTGGCCTGTATTTATTTTTCATGTATTTGATTGCCATTAAGGTGTCAGATTTTATAGCACGGGGTTAAACTTTCTATTTGCTGCAGCTGACACTAGGGATGCTCATTTCGGTTAATTTTGCTAACTGACAACCGCTGCTCATTAATCGGTTATTAACGGTTAACTGATCAGATTACTATTAATTTTATATTAAACAAATCGACGTGTCAATTTTGTGTCTGACACATTAAATATTACATTTTAAAATACTGATTTATTTTTATATGCTAGTATATTAATAATAGAAAATAACAGCATTTTCACGCACCTGCAGTGTTTGGCACAGAAGAACAGAATAAACTAAATAAAATTAATAAAATAAATAGGACTGCCCTAAATTATTTACACTTAAATAATTAATTTATATTACAAAACAAAAACACTGACTGATTCCTTTTAATAACCGGCATAGGCTGTTTTTTTCAATCATATGTTTTTTTCTTCCGTCAAATAAAAATAGCTGACTTCCTCAATATGCCCGCTCCAAGGAAAATATGCATTTATTTAATGCCCTGCTTGTATTATTATATTCACAAAACCTTTTTACATTTTTAATAGAAATCATTATTTTAAAGATTATGTCTTGCTATATGGTTTCCTTTCTCTCCCTCGCGGTTAAATGCGCGCGCTGCGTAATGAAAAGACAACAACAACGCGCGCATATGTTGACTTTTTGTAAACAGTTTTGTTGTTTAAATATGATATTGCATTAATGTGCATCCATGCTTTATAAGCTGTAAAATAAAAGGTAAAGCCTATTTGTTGCGTTTATGACGCAGATCCAGGTCAACATCAGCTGAAATGGCATTAGGGCCGAAAAGGCGCACCTCACTGCCTTTATGTTGACAAGGAAAAAAGAAGAGAAGAAAGCGCGGTCCTCTTATGAAACGACTGAATCAGCTGGGTATCGATTGTGCAAAAGTGTTGCTGTCTGTGTTGTTACAATTGTAATATTTAATAATATTGTGATATTCAAGATTTGTACAATTATACAGCTCTGGATAACTTAAAACAGCGATTAGACCTTCAGAGCGGCATTAATGCGTCCTGAAGTAAAGCGAAACGGCTATAAACTCCAGCAAGATAGAGTGATTATATGCAGAGCCATATACCTTTATCTATAAATAAAGTATAACTATGGAAACTGTGTTCATCTTAACTGAAAGCTTCGTCGAGTTTGCTGGCCTCACGCATCGCGCACCTGTCAGTCAGTCAGCACGTAACGCCAACAGATAGCGCACAGCACTATATATGGTTACAGAAAAGTTTGCGATGTTATAATTCACTTACCTTTTAATACCTTTCAGTGCAATTATAATCTGCTATTAAAAACAACAACAATGACTGAATATATTGAAAGGGTAATGTAGCCGTGGATGGATGCATTTTGGTCCCCGCCATTGAAGAATGAATGTAGCGGAAACCAAGCTCTTTAAAAGTTCTCTGTAGTTGTCTTGACAACACAAACTGCTGCTCTGGGATGAGCTGCGCGTGCAAAAGATGCCCCTCTTAACCCAAAGGCGCATTCAATCGGCCCCTTATGCAGCCAAACTAAAAATATATAAAATATTTTTTATCGTTTAACTGATAGCATTAACCGGTTACAAACGCACCCTTTCAGTTAACGGTTAATCGATTATTTTGAGCATCCCTAGCTGACACTATTGCTGTGTTGTTTATCTAACGTAAACACGCTAATAACTACGAAAAAAATAAATAAATGAGTGAAAGGCCGATGGATTTTCATTAGGCAAATAATTAGGTAATAATTAGGCAAGTCACCGTCTAACAGTGGTTCTGTGGACAATGGGGGTATATGCACATAGACTTTTAATTTCACCCAGCCAGCCTCAGTGCTTCCGGTGAACTTATAAAATTGTATATCTTTCCATTATAAAATTGCCACATTTAAGATCTGATTTCTTTAAAAATCAGTGATTTTTACTGCCTGATAGATATACGATATAAAGTGGGTCACAGATCAGACAAGAAGCACTGCATTAAATTCCATTTTGCCCTGCCATGTCAGCAAAATAGGAGTTTATTTTACCCCTGTATTTTCAATAGAGTTTCTGCACTAGCCTACTGGTACTGATGGCAGTAGAGGTTACATCTTTCATCTCATTTTACAAGTGAACAACTAAATTAAGTCTATTTAACTGAATCTATTATTATTACATTATTACAACAGCGATACTGTAAAAGAAACATTTTGAAATTGTAAAGAGTCACATTAAGCTTTAACCGGAGGTTTATCATTGGCTGAAAAACACTAGCTGAGAAAAAAGTATTTCTTAATGGTGCTAATAATATTGACCTTAAATATTTTAAAAAGGCAACATGGTGGCGCAGTAGGTAGTGCTGTCGCCTCACAGCAAGAAGGTCGCTGCCTCTGCTGGGTCAGTTGGAATTTCTGTGTGGAGTTTGCATGTTCTTCACGTGTTCGTGTGAGTTTCCTCCGGGTGCTCCTGTTTCCCCCACAAGTCCAAAGACATGTGATATAGGTGAATTGGCTAAGCTAAAATTGTCCTTAGTGTGTGTGTGTGTGCATGACAGTGTATGGGTGTTTCCCTGTGATGGGTTGCAGCTGGAAGGGAATTTGCTGCGCAAAACATATGCTGGATAAGTTGGTGGTTCATTCCCCTGTGGCGACTCCAGATTAATAAACGGACTAAGCCGAAAAGAATATGAATGAATGGTTGAAAAAAGTAAAACTGCTTTTATTCTAGCTGAAATAAAACATTTTTTTCAGAATAACAAATATTATAAGAAATACTGTTAAAAATGCATTCCTCTGTTAAGCATCATTCAGAAAAAGCTTGAAAAAGAAAAAATGATTCAAAGGAGGGCCAATCATTTTGACTTCATTTGTATATTTACGCAGATTTACATAAGTAAATAAAAAAAATCTGTGTATTTCTGCGAGCACAGATTCCATGCGAGTTTACTTCACGACTTGATATATACAAGTCTTTCTAGTGAGCATGTGTTGAACGCCTCTGTTCAGTCTATACTTGGAATGGCTGTGTTCAACTGCATATTCACAGTAAGCACACTTCGCTATAGCAACCAGCAAGTTCACAGCAATTCAGCTCAATAGATTTTACTCAGTTGAGCTGAACACATTATACAGTGACAAATCACTGAACCACTGAATTATGCAACACATTTTGTTTTACCTTTCACACTTGGGTGCACACGTCCAATGAACACCACAGAACGGGGGTCAGGAATATGTGTGTGTGCGTGCATGTTTGTATATGGGGCGTAAGAGTGTGTGTGTCCGCATTAGTGTGTCGCCTCCCACTGACCCCGTTTGGCTTTTGTGTTCATTTCTAGTTGTTTTCTTAAGCCAGCATGGTGTCAGAAAGTGACCGCTCTGACCCAAACTGAACACATCAGGCCCATACAGAGCAGCGGAGAAGGCCAAAGGGCATATTGAGAAAGTGCTCTGTTATTTACGCACAGCCAAGACATACATCTTTATTCTTTAACCGATGATTCTTATGAGCCCATTCTTTTAATGAATCAATTGAAAAGACTCTCAAACACACTATTGTGCACAGATTGGGTACTGCTGCTGGTTTCTGTTCTGAGTATAAACAGCAGATGGTTATGTCATTATTTGGAAATATGACAGATAAACAAGCATAAAACTGAATGCATGTGTGGGTGTACATTTCTCCTCCGTGCTGGTTATCCTATATAAGAACAGGATGGTGAATACGAGGTGAAAGGAAATATTGCATTCAGTTTCTCTGAAGGAAAAATAAATCTGAATTATCCGCGACATACTTTATACACTATACACCCCCAGATAGTCTAAGATATACCAAATTTTCAAATCTTGTATATTTTGAACTTATTAAACATTATATTAAACTTATTAAGAATTGCACCATATTCTAATGTCCTAACTTTTAAATGAATATTTTCTAACGGATGCTTTACAATAATATGTGTGTGCATATTCATTAGGTTAATGTAGTCATTTATGCTAAGCACTGTATTTGATATCTACACTGCTCAGATTAATTGAGTACACCCCATTTTGATGAATGAAATGCATATATTTACTGAGAAAATATTTTATGTATTTTGGAGTATTTAAACAAAACTGATTTATTAAAGAGAAATATTTATTAAAATAATATTTTAGTCACCAAACATTTAGAAATAGAAAAATAATATAATTAAAATACAAAAATAAAAAAAATTAATACAACCTACAAAATTTCAACTAAATTTTCACATTTTTTTGCTTTTTTTAAATTTGTATTTAATATTTTTCTATAACATATACATTTGGGTGTACTGGTTTTTCGACCGTTATCGTATGTTATTTTGTTAGATAAGCTACAGATTTGGCTTCAGTACTGACTAATCTAATGTATATGCAGAAATATAATATTGTATAGCTCCTATAAAATTATATTAATTTAAACTATAGATTTTTGACGGGTGCATTTATAAATGCTTAGCACTGTATTATGTGAAATTAGATTTCACAGTGGTCAGGGCAATCCAAAGCAATTAGCATTTATAGATTTAGCAGACACCTTAATCCAAATTGACTTTCAATAAAGAAACAGACACTTTGTCAACAATCCATCAATTTTCACAGTACATAAATACTGGAAGCTCACAGAATTAGAAACTAAGAAATTATACAGCTTCAAATATTTAATACGTATGTTGTAAAATAGAAAGAATGCAATTTTAAATAAATTAATTAAATTGCAAGCATTCAAGAATGATCATTATTGAAATACAAGCACTGCTAAAACACATTCTGACATCAGACCTTTTAAAAATGCATATAAAAAAAAATCAGTATTTTTAAGAATTTTTCTTTCAGTAATAATCATCTTTTATCTGAAAACATAGTCCACCCAATAAAATAATAAAAAATATATATATATATCGAAAATAAAAATAAAATAAACAATATATTAATTAAAATAAAAATATCTAAAATAAAATAAAAAATGCATTATAATATATATATATATATATATATATATATATATATATATATATATATATATATTATATATAAAAAATATATATAATAAAATAAAATATTTGAATGTCTTTATAGATTTTTGTCGGCACTGCTGGCACCACTGTCAAATTACATCTGAAAAGCAATCAACTAAAGAAAACAATTATGTTTTTGCGACCCATCATGAGGCAGGTCATGTGGTGACACCCCCTACTATAAAGGGGTCATTCCTATAGCAGCTTAAAGGCCGAAAACAAAGAAAAATAGGGGGGTGGGGTATTATATTCCTATTAAATGAGTTCAGCAAAGGAACTCAAAACAACCACATGCCATGCAAATAACCTATCAGCTACTGGCAATGTCATTAGGCTTAAGTACACTGCAGACCCATTCAAGAGGATCACAAAGAGCTTGACATGTTTACCATGCCCCGTTAAAACCCAAAGCACTGAGCCCAACGCTATGAGCGGTAAACACATTTTACAGCTGCGCAACATGCTTTTAGTTTCCATTCAGGGCCATTTAAGGGCGCAGACAGAGGGTGGTAGCTGGGATTGGAAGGCAGAGACAAAACAAACGGCCAATAAAAGATGGTTTTGGTGTAGTAAAACCACTTCTCTAGTTTGAGGAGCAGACTTGAGCTTCTGTTTTTTTTTTACACTAAATTATGTGGCTTTAGCCAATAGCGCTTTATTATAACCAAAATTATTTAATGATTCTTGAAGCTGATACAACTGGCACTCTGGTACGACTTATCAAGCAATATAAAGCAAGTACACTTATACTAATAAAAAAAGAAATGAGTAAACCAAACATCTGCAAAACACATTTTTAAAGATTTTATTCTATTCCTTTTTATAACCAGCTTGACTTACTGAGGAGACTGTTGAAGTATTAAGCTTGTCGTCAAACGCTTGAATTTAAACATTGTATTATTACTCGATTTTTTATTTGGTGGGTGTATGGGTGTACGAGCAAACAAAGAAAACAAAGCATAAAGGCATCACATTTCATAGCATTGCTAGTTTTGTTGAATAAAATCACCAAACAATGTAAATGAAATATGACAACAAGACGCTGCGGTGCCAATAACTTGGATTATTGTTGGCCAAGTGAAGTAATTTTAAAGTAACTTATAAGGGTGCCAGACAACATAGCAGTGTCTGTGCCTTAATGTGCATACTGTACACCCTAAATTATTGAATATTACAAATGGTATACTGTATTTCAATCAGAAAGATGGATATGTACATTGAGACGCAGGGATATCAATGATTCACATGAGTCGTTCATCACAGAGAAACATTCACCAACGAATTGCTCCCTCTGTTAGAAATAGAAGTGAAAGCGGGAGAGGATGTGTGTGTTTCTGGACACGGATTAGATCAAATTTAACAGGGAGGGAGGATAATACATTGCACACAATCCCACGCTCTTTGTCAGCAATGCAACCCATGCAATCATGTATCCATCAATGTAGAAAATAAAAAAAATTCAAATTTTCATCATTTAAAAAATATATTTGCATACTGACCACTGGGAAAACTCCCGATCATATCTATGGCTTGGGATGGCCAGTTCTCTAGTACACCTTGATCCCACATTAATTTCAAAGAACTGCTACCTTGTACTAAAATGGTGGCTCTATTGACGCATTACTTCCAATAGACAACAACAGGGTAGGCAACAGCTAATGTTAATATCTATGCTAGGATAAATACTGGAGCACTTTAGGAAGGGCCATCAATAATACCAAAATATAAGCAAATGGAGTTTCTGAGCACATACTTCCTGCCACCAATATAAAGTACTCACGGTGTAGACTCCAGGCTGATGCTGTTAGCTTGTGTAGAGGAAGCCGATTTGTGATTGGAGAAAACCGGAAGGCTGGGGGAGGCATGGATGACATGGTCCACCAGGTGACCCATTGAAGAGGGCCGCAGCCGGGGACCCTCTTGAACAAACAAGGAGTTGCTGTTGACAGAACATTTATAATGAATGTAATCAGAAATCACTTATCTGAGAATATAAATAATTTGGATAAAGTTAAACAAGGTGTTCGTGCTGTATTCATGAAAACTAATTTTGCACAGTGACATGCGGAGTTGCTGTAAAAAACACAATGCTTCATAGAATATGAAGTTTCATGTGATATTTAGCGTTAACCCTGATTTGTACAACATCTAGTTTTTCTCTTATCCTTTTCTTTATTGGTTTACTGATAATCCTTAAGTCTCTAATAATTCCTGACGTCTTGTGTAAAACTCACCTAACACCCAAGCGAACAGAAAAAATATATATTTTAAAGCTGAAAACCTAGAGGTGTGAATCTACACTGGTTTCACGGTTCAGTTCGGTTCTCATTTTCATGCCATCGATTCGATTCAATATCTCGGTGCATCACTATGCACTGACAATGCTTTCCTTACACTATTTCATACTTAACTTACATATTTAAACATATTTAACAGCACAATAATTTACTTGTATTAAAATTTATAATTTTTAAACACATTTTATATGTATTTGTAGTACAATCTTGTCCTTTAATACAAGCAGTCAGATATATGAACTGTAACTTTAATTTTACCTGCTCAAAAAAAAAAACACTCTGCATCAAACAAAACTCAAGGACGTGCATAGAACAACATGAGCACTTTGAGCGTTGTCCAGCGAGTTGTTAAATGTCTATGATCGGTGGCACGCTCAACAGCAAGGGCTGCGATTGGCTCTAACGCGATGCCGCTGTTCACTGATAAATGACACTGATAAACGGACGTGGCGATCACAGTTGATCCATGACAGAAGTGGAGAAAACTCTCTACAGACATGCTCGTGTCTGAATCCACAAGTATTGCTGTAACAGCCGAGAAGAGGAAAACCGTCACGCCAGCAGGTCTAACAGGCCACATTGAGAGAGAGAGAGAGAGAGAGAGAGAGAGAGAGAGAGAGAGAGAGAGAGAGAGAGAGAGAGAGAGAAAGAGAGAGAGAGAGAGATGGAGAGAGAGATTTTATTTTCTCCACAGCAGTAAAATAGGGGATTTGGCTGTAACTTCAGTGTCAGTAAAAGGCTATCAAGCAAACACGTGCAGTTTAATTACTGGCGCTTGACTCTCTCACCATAGTATTTTGCCATGACATAGCGCGTATGAGGTAAACGACGTTAGTATGTAACAACTGGTTAAGATCTATTACTAAACCGATACGGAATTGCCTGTTTACCGAAGAAACAATTTTGACACCCCTATTGAAAACCTGTAACCACTGACTAGGAGAGTAGGAAATGCACATACTATGGAAGTCAATGGTAACAGCTTTTCAGCTTTCTTCAAAATATCTTCTTTTGTGTAGAATAGAAGAAAGAAGATCAGTGGTGGTTCAATTATGACAGAATTTTTGATGTGCCATATTTTGAATTATTCTTAAGAAAGAGAAGGAGGGTGGAGGGGCATTATTGGGGGTTGCATTGACTAGTCGACTTCAGTGCTCTGCTGTGATGCATTTTGATTGACGTCGACTTGTCGCTCTGCACAGATCGTTTGGTTTGACCTAAACTACAAGGCAGCTTTACACATTGGTTGACTGGATGAAACTGCCCTCAAATCATTTAAAGTAATATTTAAAGTTTTATTTTTCGTATATTAGCGTCATTGAGCATGTGGATATATTTCCTACAAATAAATCGATAGTTGTGGCATGTTGCAAAACGTTGTGTTTTATTTATGGCATCACCAGTGACTAGTCAACATCAACTGATAACATAAACGTCGACTTTCAAAAATCCAAAGTCGTTCAACCCTTACACATCACAGAGATAAAAGTGGCTAAAAACTCCCTAAATTGTCTTCTTTTTCTTTTGATTTTGGAGTGGCATGACAGGCATAAAATTATACACATACAACAGTCACATTTTTTTAACCCAAGCACCCTGCCGAGTCTTCGCTCATTAGGTTATGGGTTTGACTGAAAGCGAGCGGCACTCACTGGTTAGGTGTCCCAGGAGGGGAGCGGGTGGGTAGGCTGCGGGTCTCTAGCCTCTCTTCAGACAGTGAGTTCCTGCTCACTGCTTCCCAGTCTGTCACACCCATCAGCTTTCTGGCCAGGGGCTTGCTAGGTGATCTAATACATGAAACACAGTTTGTTAACACCTGCAACACCTCAGTAGAGCCATAGAATAAATCACTTGTGTAACCTGTTGTATAGAAAGGTAGTTAGATATTATTACACTGATTAATTGTGTGATTGAATGTAGCGGGCATTTTGAAAGCGTTAAACCCATTTAATGTTCAGTTTAGCGTTAATATAATCTTAGCAACCCTTTCTTAACCTCTTAAGACCCAAGGTGTTTATTACATGCATTTTTTATTTCTCTTTGTTATTTGGGCTTATTGGAACCTAATTAGAATAAAAACCTAAATATCATCATTTAATATAATGTACTTTTAGAGAAAAATTACGTGCTTATATGTGGACTCGTGGTCAGAATTTACATTAAACACTTTTCCTGACTGTTTTGTAATGTATATTTAACATAGAATTTTTTTTAACATGTTTTGACTATCAGAGAGTAAAAACAACATTATTTTTCCATTTTGGACAGTTAAAAATGGCGTTTGGGACATTTCATATGCTACAAAACAGTTGCAGGATGACACTGTATGTCTGTAACAAAACATTCAAAGTATTTAAATAGCCACTTAAGAGCTCAAATGTGCTGTCTACGTATGTGGCCACTAAGCCCTAGGAGGTTAAAGTTTTAACATTAACTCCATGCTTATTTGTCACACAACAGTTTCAATCTGAAACCGAATTGAGTTTACCTTTTAACTTGTCTGCTCTCCTTAGATAGTGTTCTACAACGTTCCATTTATATTACAAATGTGTAACTGCAGGAGTTTGTTATATTTTGTCATGGTGATCCCTAGTGAGGTATTTCTGTGCCTTGAAGGGCAAATTTTGCAAAATCATTGACATTCAAGAGTGCTGTTAGGGGTTTCTGTCATAACAGTATCTACGTTGAAAGTCAGATAGAGCAGAATCTACTGCCAGGCTGCCAAATGTCAATCACTATTCTGAGACTAGAAAAAAAGAACAAATACAGGGTTGACTTTGCTCATTTTTTGCAAGGTTTTATTTGATGGCATTTCAAATTGTATTGGTGGGAAAATCAGAAACTCCTGAAACAAAGAAAATACTATTTATGACTTTTAAAGATGCACAACAAAAGTCAGTAGATATGCTTCCATCAATCTATTTTTATGCACACAGAAAGTGCATTACTTTAACCATTTTAATATGTCATCATAATAATTAAATCCAAAAATTATAGTATAATATTGAGAGTTCATTTTAATCTCGGGACCACCTGCAGGATCGTTGAGGCCCACTTGTAGCCACGGTCCACAGCTTGAGAATCTCTGGAATAAACTATCTGATAAGAAAAACTGTGCATAAACTACACTACTATGGAAACACATTTACAGAATAAATTCCAACATGTGAACCAAAAATCATGTCATTTTGTTTAAAGAGATCATACATTAACAAAAATGAGCATAATGGGACAGAAATAATGGACAAACCAGTGGACCGACCACATTGTAAAATATCCTAAATGTTGCTTTGGTCATTCTAAAATCATTTACCCAAAATGTGTCGTCAAAGTGAATCATATTATTACCTCCCAGAACTGTGTTGAGCAGCTGCGTCCTCAAAGACTAGTCTAGTACTTTCAAAAGCCACCACGCATTCATACACTCTTTTCACATTTCCGGGTTTCTCAGTAGTGGAAGGCATCATGGTTGGGTGAACTTAGAGCACAGTGAATTGGAGAGCATAACAAATATTTTTTTTACAATACCACCATTTGCTGAAATAGTAAAAGAAAAACGCCATGATGATTTTATCAAGACTTCCAGATAAAGAAAAAAATTGTGTGAGACTGATGACGGCAGCCAGAGGAGAGAAAAATGTCAAATTTACTCTCAGCCTCATAGACCCTGCATTAGAAGTGCCAATTCTTTTTTTATAATTTGACAGATGATACAATACAAACATAAATGTAAACATTAAAAACTTTTAAGGATTTAAGAAAATAACGACCGTTAAACGTGACATAACAGTCTTGTGAAAAGGATCCATTGTGTTCAACATCTTCTTCTGAGGTGAAAGTCATTTACCATTTACGAAAAAAGGCCCATAGTGGCTTCCCTGCTGCAAATTTGTCTTTTAGATGTTTGGTGTAAGTTTATCAGGAAGTGATAATTTTGTTTCTTTGAGTCATTGGAAAAAAATGATGCAAATACATATTTGCAAATATTTTATGCAATAATCCAGGTTTGCATACAAGTCTAATTTGCATATTTGTATGGAAATATAGATAATAAAAAAAGATAATGAAAATATATATATTTTTTTGGAATATACTACAAAAACTAGATTCGATTACCTGAAATACAGTAGTATTCAAATGTTTGTATGCATGTCCACGGCTGTAAATACCTACCCGGGGTGTTACTGAGACAGTGACCACTAAATTAACTTAATCTTGCTTAAAAAGGACTTTGATCCCAGCATCTCACTGCATGTTCAGTTCATAGGCTAAACCAAGTCCCTCCTCCTCACCAGCTGCTAGCTTATTATTCTTTTTAAGAAACTTCACATTTTCACAGAAAGAAATACTCTTCCAGAACAAATTATTATTCTAATGATCACCACCTGAAGAATCACATCACAACAAAAAAGCACACACTACCTTGCAAACACCCTGTCCTTGATTCCCTTCTCCTTGCCATACTGAACAGATTGTGCTTCCGTCCTCCCGCTGTGAAGAAATGTACAATGTTTGTCAGGATTGAAGCTATATTTTTCAAACATAACAAACTTCCAAAGCTTTCATCATTCTGTGCCTTTATCTTTATCTGCTTCAAGCTACAGAGTTCACATAGGTTTAATTATACAGTACCAATAAACTAATAAATCTAGAGAGCATCAAAAGATTAATTATTGATCGCTTCCTCTTCCTATATCTAAAACTGGATAAAGAGCATCATCAATGTTTAATGAGATTATCCCTAGGATTTACTAGAGTATTTGCTCGTGTCGACTAAGGTCAAGACTTTTAGTGACTGTGACCTCAATCAGGACAAGCTACTACTAAAATTCAAAAATTACTATTTACACTCAGAGTTCAACAATAACAACTTCTTGCTGGTTTAGTTTTCCATAAATTACTAAATATAATTCCAGATTGTTCTGCAAATTTTGTTGGTAAACAACACACACACACACACACACACACACACACACACACACACACACACACACACACACACACACACACACACACACACACACACACACACACACACACACACACACACACACACACACACACACACACACACACACACACACACACACACACACACACACACACACACACACACACACACACGCATATATATGTGTAAATAATAATTTACATTTGGCAGATTTAAAATGCATAACTTTAGAGGGGTTGCCCCAAAACAAAAAATTGTGGCAGGAAGATACACTGTAAAAAATGCAGGCTTCCACACAATTCCTTCATGTTGTCCCAACACAAATCAATTAGGTTAACTAAAGCATGAAGCATAAAGCAGATCACAAGACTTTTATTGTCGGTTACGAAAGTCACTATGTCAGATTGTGTAATTTTTCATGGGCAACAAATGTGCTAGACTACAGGTTCCATCACAATCAGTCATCCTGTGACATCTACGACTAATGTTATTTCCCAAAGCAGTCGCAAGTGTTATAACAATATTTCTTATCTCAATTTCAATTTTTTCCATCTTATTTTAATCTCAATTAACGCTGCTTGCTGACAACTAATAACTACATTTAAAGGCATTCCTTACGACATAGATAACATCAAACTTGTGATTCCATTTTAATATTAATATATCTTATTTGAAATCTAAATGTATATTTTTCAGTCGTGGGTTGCTTATTAATCAGTCCCTCGCCTGAATTTGCCACGAGTGAGATGGAGAAAAGGAAAGTATATCAGCAGCCAGGAAAAATTAGATGTTCAAGACATAATCTTTAAAATAATGACATTAAAAATTTGCAGATATATGACAGAGGTTTGTGATACAAACACAGTAAAGCATTATTTAAATCCTTGTTTTCCTCAGTGCAAAACAAATCATCCACCTGTATAGTTGAGTAGTGGACGGGCACAATCAATGAAAAAAAAAAATTTTTTTTAGAAAAAATTATCTTTTTGAAACAAACTTCGTTTGGTATAGTTTTTATCTTAATTTTATCTTTTGTTGGTCATTTATTTATAAACAAGAATAACGAATAACATTTGAGGTGATGTGCTTCAAAACAAGTCCACTACATCCGCCAAAACACAAATTGCTGTGAGATTGTGTTTGTTTGTTAGATAAAATAATAATCTAGCCTAAATAAAATTATTTCCTCTAATAATGACAAATTTGAATAAGCAGGAAATTCTTTTACAATGTATTCGCAGACCTAAACATGTTCCCCGATTACCTTGGAACAGTAAACTCTGTAGAAAGGCTGAGAAAACAAACTCTTTGTGAAAATGAAAATGTCTGCATGTTTGTGCCAGTCTGTCAGTTAAAATAGCTTAAAACACCTTAATATTTAAGAAAAGGTAGTTAGTTTTCATAACTAATGATTGATCTTATTCGCCCATGACCAACGCATAAGTAAATAGCAGCCTGTTTTTAATGACCTAAGTGGCACATTGACAGCAATAAACATGCTAGACTTTCTGCGATGGTGTCATAAGGCATCGGTTGTCGTGAACTATGCCACATCACACTACAAGAATATATTTAATCTTCACGAGGCCCATTTGTCGTTTACGAATCCCCACGGCACCCTACATCAAGTAAATCATGCAGAAATCATGATATGGTTTAAACAAAACAATTAATTTATCCCCAATAAAACTTAAGAATAGTGTTTTTTCATTTTAAATCTATAATTGGAAATAAACAGATTTTAATAAACATTTAATAATACATTTTTAATAAACATTTTTTTGAGTGTATCTGAACTAATGGACTGACTGGTAAAGCAGAAAAAAGGAAATTTGCTGTTGTTGAGCAATGATAGAAATTCCTAAAAAAACAAGCCACCTTTCAAAGTACAAGCACCAAACAACATATTTGGAGTTTGTTTTTAGGAACATCCTTGTAAAGAAACAGGAGTCACTTCTTACCAGTAACGAAACCTGGAGCCCAAACTGAAGTAGTGCGCAAAAAAGTTCTTCTGTGGAGGAACGGGTCGATCCAGCCGAAAGAAGGTGTGGTGTTCAACACAGGTTTTCCAGAGGTTCTTACAGGCCCTGTAGTTTACCATGTTGAAACCGAGCAATGTATCTCTTGTATCATGCTGTAGGCCAAAAGAAAGAAATATTTGAAATTCTCTTAACCCGTTTCACAGACTGCTGTAAGTATGCCATTTGTGGGTTTATCACCCATAAAGGTGTCAAAATACTCAGAACTGTTCCCTAAAATCAGTGCCCAGCAGCAGATCAACTAATAGTGAGAATTTGGGTTGTGGCTATTGTAGAAAGTGATAGGAGGTCACACACCTTATTTTGATGGTCCGTTTGTTGCAACTAATTCTCATTAGATTATAAGTAGACTGCTTAGGGTTAGTGTAAGTTGACATGTACTTGCAAAGTTTCTTATAGTCAGTTAAATGTCTGTTGAAGGAGCATATCGACAGATATTAGGCAGACAGTCTATTAATACTCAAACGGACCAACAAAATAAAGTGTTACCCAAGAGGATTACAAATAAACAAACAGCAGTAACCAGTTGGTCACTAGTGGGCTCACACAGATTCTGTGAGTGCAGAAATTCGCAGATTTCCAGGTTTTCAGCCCATCAACGGGTCTATTCATGTAGTTGTGTGTAAATTTATTTTTATTCAGTTTTTAAAGTAATACTACAGACTAATTACTGATTAAATATGAAAATGTTCATATGATTTACTTACAATACAGTTTGTAAAGTAATAATTTCTGTCTTTTAGATATATTACATGACAGACTTGCTTTGCTAACCAAATAAATGGATCTAATAGGATTTGCATTGTAAACATTAAATAAAAGTTTTTTATTTAACATTAAATTTTTTGTTACGATACACCCAAAATAATCCAGCATAAATATGCAGAATTTTTTTTTCAATATTCTGCACAGAAATAGCAAAACATTCTGTCTGACCCTACTTTATCCTATCCTATACTATCCTTCCCCTCTCTCTGCTGCACATGCTTTCCTGTCAATACTCTCTACTGTCCTATCAGATAAAGGTGAAAACCCAGAAAAAAAATTATTATAAAAAAAGAAAAAAACTAACAAAAAAAGAGCTCATAATACGCAGTTCTGAAAGAAAATGACAATACCATAATTTGCATTTGTGAGGAATAAAATGAAATGTTAGATTAAGTCAAAATTACCTTCTTCTTAAATGGTGGATATGAGCTTCTTTATAAAATATTTAAAATGTAGGTGACATTTACATTCTCTCTCTTAAATCTTTCAGATATTATGTACATTTTGCAATGGACATGAACCACCATTCCAAACCTTGCCAAAGTAGCCAGAAAGCTCTGCTCTAGAGAGACCTATTAGGCGTGACACTCCAATCTGTACAACTCCATTGGTCACTAGAGACTCCGGTGGGAGGTAAATGCACTTTGTGAACTGTTTTACTTTCCGCAAATCGCAATAGTGACCAAGGTCCAGGGAAATCGGACCCACTTAGCCAAGCTGTGCCATCTGGGCATCAATTATGGATCATGACATCACTGAGTTCTGCTTTTAGTACAACTGCCTCTGAAAGGCCCCTGTGCATTATTCACACCGCCGGGGTGTTTTGAGGTCTGTGATGTTGCGGAGACCTGCTTCAGGATCCCGTCGAGTCTCAGCAATCGCTGCAATTCAGATGTCAAGTCGCATCCCACTTCCCCACATGCAAAACGCATGCATAATGAAAACACTGTTAGGAGTCTCTATCTCTCTTCACATCGTCACTGACAGCACGTAATTACAGATGGATTTCAAATAAACAAAGATCAGTGGTGCAGCGGGAGCCAATATACTGTTTAATTTAAGACTGCCTTGGCAATACAGTTTATTAATAGGAATTACTGCTCCCTGCAGTTTGTAAATAGGAGGTCATCTAATTATTTTATAAACTGTAATCCGATAACAGTAAGAGAAAATGGCACAGGTGAACAAAAGCATTGCAAGTTGAAACATTGCTGGATATTATGCAGAGATTAAAGATATTATGAAACGTAATAAAGAAATAAAAGCACGCCACTTACCGCCTCTTTTCTTAGCTGGATGAAAAACTGTTTGCACTTAAAAGATATTTTCACAATCTTTAACCTAAAATAGAGAAAAAAAATCCTTTGTTGGCAAAACAAGAACTGATTTTTCAAGGAGAAGCAACAAACCCACATTCTGAGCTGCTGAAATTCCCTGACCCATTTCACGGCCCTTTGTACATCTCTAAGCTTCACTCCTATTAAAATATGACTCATAGTGAAGCTAAATATATTCAACACAACACAGAACACACACTCTCTGAACAAACACACGCTTAAGTAACGTCAGCCACTTATGACACATTCTGTCACACAAAGTCAGTGCAACTCACTAACACATGACTCAGATCAGTCAAACTCTACTATATTTAACAGTACAGAACATCCCTCATTGACATTAGCATTCACATTATTTTGTGATTGAAGTGATTTACAGTCATCACAGATATAGATACAGCTATACATGAAGATAAAAGTAATTGATAAGTGGGACCGTTTGAGAGGTCAGTGGACATCTGTGGCAAACAGGCCTTGTTTTCTTCGAGGCTAAAGATAGTTTGCCTGGAAAGCATCTGTGTGTGCTTTTCAAACGGAGATGCTTGGACTACAGCAAGAGCAGCAGCTGAGCTTGTGTGTCAAAAAAAAGCCTGGTGGAGGAAAAAAAAGCTTTGCTTGACGGGTGTTTGAATGGCGCTATTCACAATCACATTTTGCTGAGGCTTTTATCCATTCCATATCAGCCATTTTACTTAAAACAGTTTAAAACAAATGCAATAAAAACAGTTAGAAACATCATAGCATATCTTTCCATCTTAATTCTTGGTAAACATGATACTTGGTCAGCGCCAATAGCCAAGTGGTTAAGTGCGCTGACATATAGCACCACAGTGCTCACGGCGACCCGTCCCCTCTCACTGCTCCCAATACTTTCCTGTCTGTAATCTCCACTGTCCTATCTCAATTAAAGGTGAAAAACCCCTCAAAAATAATTGGTGAAGACAGGCATGTGAATCATAGGAAAAAGGGAATGCTAATTCTTAGAATCGTTCTATGATCAGTTTTTAGTGAAGCTATCAAAATATTAGCTGATCCCTTGCATAGCTTATTTTATGAATACGAGTTACTGCCTTCCAGTAGACATTACAGGCTGCCTGTCTGCAGATACAATCATTTTAAAAATTGGTTATATCCAAATTGTTCAGACTTTTAAATATGCAATTTTTTTTTCTTAAATGTTTGTTGATTTGTGTTGTCTGTTTTGTTTAATTTATACACATATGGGCCTAGGGTCCAAGACAAATATCCCCATTAGCGACATAAAAAAAGTGTATTAAGTCAAGGAAGTAAAATATTTATATTAATAACCAATTATGTTTGTTATGTTATGTGATGTGTATTTATTAAGTAATTGTGAAAGAAAACAAACACAAAACAATTCGGTCAATTCAAAAAATGATTCTTTGTTCTTCTCTCTCTACAAAAAAAAAGAAAGGAAGTTTTGTGTGTCCATCCAATCCATTGCACGCCACTGAGTGAAAGGAGAGTTAACGCTTATCAAAGAGCTATGCAGGATTATGCCCAAATTCAAAGTTTATTTCAAGGCATGGACATACATACACACACGCCAAACAGCAGCAAGGAAAAGGTGCACGTGAGGCATTGACACCGGCAGTCAGTAGACTACAGTAGTGGATCTAAACAATCTGGCACATTCTGTCTTAATAATCTGACTTTGTTTTTCATCAAGTGCACAAAGTGACAGCATTCTAGTTTGATTTTTACTTGCATGGTGGCTCTAAATTTTCATAACACCTCTCAAAATACTTTCTATGATTGTGAAAAATTGGGGAAAAAAATTTACTAGATTTTTTTTTAAATATGTTGAATGAAAGTTTTGGTAAATGTTATGTAAATGTGATTGACACAATGTGCATAGTCAAACTTATTTATTTACATAACATTGAAAAACTTTTATGTACAATGAAATTTAATCTGCACAGTTATAAAATTTAATGTACTTTTTCAAAAAGATAGTATCTTATTTTGTGTAGATAACATAATAATAATATAATATCTATTATATGTATGTAATAGATTTGATCAGGTTATATTATTACAATATCTACACTGTAAAATGTATTGGCAAAGTCAAGACTACACAATTTTTGTGTTGCTTTAACTTATTTTAATAAGTTAATCATGTTAAATATTTTTTGTAGTTAAACAAAGTTTTAGTAAATATATTAGTCAGTTTGACTGATGTAAGGTGAGATGACTAGAAGTTCATTTGATTCAACTAAGTCAGCAAAGAACGTAACTCAAAGTAAAAATATAGACAACGTAAAAAAAACCCCTGCTCTATTTAATTTGAAATTACATGCACTATTATTTTGCTGTATTGTACAATAACTCAAAAATATGACTGAGAAACGCCAAAGTAACAATGTGCATAACACATTAACACACTTAACAAAAAAACAAATCATTAATTTCAGGATCCATTTGAGCCTTCTTTTTAACCTTGCCACATTTGCAAACTCTACCTCAGTCATTACAATTCATGAACTGAAAGAACACGAATAGCACCAATAAGACAGGTTGACTTACCATGGAAAATAGTTGATTCGTACCCTGTTCTTGTAGATGCCAATGCCAGCTGACAACACGCCCACATAAATCTCAGTGTTGCTTTGATCCTGAATGCATAACAGAGGGAGAGAGAGAGAGAAATTATTCATGAGGATCATTTAGCGTTTCTGAAAGTGTGCTGTGTAATGCGTTTAAAGCAGGGGGTCACCAATCTCGCTCCTGGAGGGCCGGTGTCCCTGCAGGGTTTAGCTCCGACTTGCCTCAACACACCTGCCTGGATGTTTCAAGTATACCTAAGAAGACCTTTATTAGCTTGTTCAGGTGTGTTTGATTAGGGTTGGAGCTAAAATCTCCAGGACACTGGCCCTACAGGAGCAAGATTGGTGACTACTGGTTTAAAGTGTTAGTTCACCCGAACATCAAAACTCTGAATGAAAGATCATTTGTCTTATTTTATTGCAAACCCATATAACCTTGTAGCTTCAATTGAATGTGAAAGCTCTGCAAAATGTTGCTCTTTTCCATGCAGTGAAAGTACATACGGTGACCAAACCCTTCAGAAGCCATTTTATATACCTTTATATTTAGTGGTAAAGAGGTTTGGGTGTAGATTCCTGCTTGCACACTCACCCTTGCATAGTGTAGTTCAACTCCATAGAGATCCAATGTTCGTGCTGTGTTCAGGTAATTGAATTCAGACTGTGCTGGGTTAAGTCCACTGTGTCCAGGCCAAAAAGTAAAGAGAATAACAATTAAAAATTATTTTAAAAAGATTGAGAAAAAAACAAAAACAAAACATGATCTTCAGATTCACATCACAAACAGTGTAGTAGTGTGCATGCATGCATGTAATTAATTCAAGATTGCTAGGTAATTTCCTACATAAAATTAAAGTGTCAGAACCCAATGATGTGTCAGAATCCAATGATTTGTCAGTATTAGTGTTGATTCTGTGTGGGGATTAATCCCTTAAGATTTTGTCTTAGATGATTGTCAATGATGACATGCATTCATAATCATACATCTTCAAATTGCTACCATCAGGTCATCAATTTTGTGTTCCCAGATGTGTAATAGGACAAAAATATCTTGCTTACCTCAAGTAACTTTTAAATTAAGTTTTTAAATTCATTCTCTATCGTTAGCAGTTGATGGCCAGTATACAACACATATATTTAGAGATACCATGGTACTTTAGGTTTTTAAACAATTTATTTATAAATGCCAAATGCGAAATTGTCAAATGAGTGTATGCTGCAAATGAAATTTCCCTACAGGGACAAATAAACTGACTAGTCAGGCATAGATAAATCAGGCTTAGTTGGTCTTTCTGTTGAACTCATATTTATTCAAATCCATTTTAATTTGTCTTCTTTAGTTGTGTAAACACTGGCTAATATTCTGTGATTTTTAGACCAACTTCAGTCAGTGAAAACATAGCTATTACTTTATTATAACTATACTCATGATGCATAATTTTTACACTAACTACTGCTGTCAAAGGATTATTCTATTTAAAATAAAATCTAATATTAAAATAACATATATTTTAAATATATAATAATAAAAATATAATACAGAAATTTGTGTACTGTGTATATTTATTATGCGCAAGCACGCGCACGCACGCAAACACGCAAACACGCATACACGCACGCACACAGACAAACGAAGATATTTAAAGAAAAAAACTAAAAAGAAATGTATATATTTTATATATAATCTGCATTACATAAAACATTTTAAATCTAAATATAAAAACACGCACTATATAATTATACAATTCATTCATATCTACACTTAATATAGTTTGCCACTGAGGAGATCTGTCGGCTAATTTAAGCATTGCAATGAGAACAAAATTCCATGCGATAAAGAACAGACTGCTTGGATTACCCTTTCATTTGAGCATAATATCCCAGTAGACATATACCAGGTTACAAAGATAAAGAAAAACACAGGAGAGAAAAAGAAATCTGGCAACCACTGGAATAAAAATTTGTGGAGCTTGTTAAAAAACATATATTATATTTACTCCTATATTTCTATAAAGAAAATAGAGATGTTTTAGTATTTAGCTTTTTTCAACAATATTGTATCCGTTCAACAATCATCAACAATTGTATTTATTCAGCAGCAACACCTAATTTTGACAGTTACAGTATTCCCCAAATAAATTGAATCATATTTTTCTCTGATGAAATAAACACAAGTTATTATGACCAGGATGCAGTGCACAATAAGCTTGCTTTTAGCCCAGTTCTAGTGTGGGCATACTTGGGCACATTTGATTATGTTACACATAACACATAATGGGAGTCTCAAGAATATTCATAAAGCCATATGCAAGGGCGGATTTAACCAATAAGCGAGGTAGGCGGTCGCTTAGGGCCCCAGGAAATCTGGGGGCCCCCAATAAATATTTAGAAGTATAAATTATATCTATCTAATAAATAAACCTACACTGTAAAACCCAAAAAGTTAAGGTAACTCAAACCATTTGAGGAAACTGATTTCAACAAACATTTAAGTTCAAAAACTAATCCTAATGAGTACTGTGAACTTTATCCATGTGAGTAAACGAAGCAATTTGAGCACAGTAAAACCCGATAAATGAAGTGAACTCAAATCAACGGAGTACTAAAAAAAAAAAAAAAAAAAGTTAAGGCAACTCAAACCTAAGGGATTAAGGAATCCGATTGCTATAAACCATTTAAGTTAAACTAATCTATACCAGTATTGCGAACTTACTCCATTAAAGTTGAAGTAATGAGGTATTTATTTACAAAACCCAAAACTCTTTCCAAATGAGTAGAATTACCTTCCAGTGCATTGAGCCAACTACAGTTGACTGTTGGGATTTACAGTGTATATACAATTATTGTATAAACTATAACTATATATAACATCGTTTTCTGTCATCTTTTGTATAGTGAGATAAAACAAAAGTTTACATAAATAAATATTATTTAACAAAATATTTTTTGTAACAACAATATTATAAAATAAAATATTCACCACGCCCAATCATGGAGCAATGCAGCAGTCAAATTTATAAATTTAGAATATAATAAATACAAATATATATATATATATATATATATATATATATATATATATATATATATATATATATATATATATATATATATATATGTATATATATATATATATACAAAAAAATATTCTAAAAATATTCTATTTTTGCTGTAAATTTATTTAAAAAAAATAATCATTTAAAATGTAGAGATTTCATTAAAAACATATTAAATAAGATTGAGTAATATAAAAAAGCAGCAAAATAAAAAAAATTAAATCAAAGTAAAAAGGGTGCACTTCAGGACTTGGGCCTGATGGCTCGAGTTGCCTAGGACCCCCAATTTTCTAAATCCGCCCCTGGCAATATGTGAAATCAACTGCACTCCTTCACTGGCGCTAATTTCTGACAATAATTTAATGTGCTGATAGAAATCACCTAATATGATTACACAAGTGTTAAAACATTACAATACCAATGCTATAATATGCAACACTGAAGGCCAGAGCTCTGCCAGAGTGAGTTTAGAGCAGTGAATCTTACTTGTGTTGCTGGTGATGTTTGGCGACATCTTTCTCAAAGCCCTGAGGCTGGTTGGGGATGAAGAAGAACTCAGACAGGTATCCTGGCAAATTCTCAGCCTCGCTATAATCACCCAGCTCGGCTGAATCACACAACACATCACAGCACTATGAATAACAGGCATGACTCACGACATCACAACATAACACACAACATAACACCTGATACTGTGAATAAAGGGTCACGACTTTCACATTGTCACAAAATGTTTCAATCATAAATAAACCTGTCTATTATAAACAGACTTAGTAGTGAATCCTTAAAAATTAATCATAAAAATATGAAGCAGCACAACAGTCTTTAACTTAACTTTATAATAAGAAGAAATGCTTCCTTAGCACTAAATCAGCATCTTAAAATATATTCAAATATAAATGTCTTTTTAGATTATATACAGTATAAACTAGTATTTATATTCTACTTGCAATTGCAATGTTTACATGTAAATATAATGTACATGTTTTAGATATCAAAAATATTAAAGTATTAAATAGTGAATAAAAATTTCAAGCCAAATGGGAATGAGAAAAAAAATGAACCAACTGCACATACAAAGAGCATACTTCTCATTTGATCTTCTCAGGATAAATCTTAGATATACAGTGCATAAGGAAAGTATTCATAGTGCTTCCTTTTTCCACATTTTTTTATGTTACAGCTTTATTCCAAATTCATATAATTTACTTCCTCAAAATTCTACACACAATACCCCATAATGACAATGTGAAAAAAAAATGTTTTTGAACTTGTTGCAAATTAAAAAAAAAAGAAAAAAAATAAAAGAAAAGAAAAAATAAATAAAAATCACACGTATATAAGTATTCACAGCCTTTTTTCGTGAAACTCTAAATTGAGCTCAGGTACATTCTGTTTCCACTGATCATTCTTGAGATGTTTCAGCAGCTTAATTGGAGTTCACCTGGGATAAATTCATTTGATTGGACATGATTTGAAAAGGCATGCACCTGACTGTCTATATAAGGTCCCAGGGTTGACAGTGCATGTCAAAGCATACACCATGAATGAAGACAAAGGAATTGTCTGTAGACCTACAAGACAGGATTGTCTCAAGGCACAAGGCTGGGGAAGGTTACAGAAACATTTCTGCTGCTTTGAAAGTTCCAATGAGCACAGTGGCCTCCATCATCCTTAAGTAAAAGATGTTTGGAAACATGCACCAGAACTCTTTCTAGAGATGGCTGGCCATCTAAGCTGACTAATCGGGGGAGATGGGCCTTAGTCAGGGAGGGGATCAATAATCAGATGGTCACTTTGTCTGAGCTCCAGTGTTTTTCTGTGGAGAGAGGAGAACCTTACAGGAGGACAACTATCTGTGCAGCAATCCTACAATCAGGCCTGTATGGTAAAGTGGCCAGATGAAAACCACTCCTTAGTAAAAGGCATCTGAAGGACTCTCAGAGCCTAAGAAATAAAATTATCTGTTCTAATGGAGTGAATGTCAGGTGTTATGTTTGGAGAAAACCAGGCACTGCCCATCACCAGGCTAATACCATCCATGGCAGCATTATGCTGTGGGGATGTTTTTCAGCAGCAGGAACTGGAATACTTGTCAAGACAGAGGGAAAGATGAATGCAGCAATGCACAGACATATCCTGCATCAAAACCTGCTTCAGAGTGCTCTTGACCTCAGACTGAGGTGACGGTTCATCTTCCAGCAGGACAATGACACAAAGCACACCACAACAAAGCACACCACAATAAAATCAGTGGAGTGGCTCACAACAACTCAGTGAATGTCTTTGAGTGGTCCAGCCAGAGCCCAGACCTAAATCTGATTCAACATCTCTGGAGAGATCTGAAAATGGCTGTACACCGTCGCTTTTCATCCAACCTGATTGAGCTTGAGGGGTACTGCAAAGAGGAAATGGGTAAAAATTCCCCAAGACAGGTGTGCCAAGCTTATGGCATCATATTCGAAAAGACTTGAGGCTGTAATTGCTGCCAAAAATGCATGAATGAGTATGCATGAATGTGTATTGAGCAAAGGCTGTGAATACTTATGTACATGTGATTTTTCAGGTTTTTTATTTTTAATAAATTTGCAAAAAAAAAAAAATTTCACATTGTCGTTATGGGCTATTGTGTGTGGAATTTTGAGAAACTAAATGAATTTAATCCATTTTGGAATAAGGCTGTAACATAAAAAAATGTGGAAAAAGTAAAACGCTCTGAATACTTTCTGAATACACTGTAATTATTCAACGCCAAATGTTGTCAGATCAAATATAAATCAGATCAACTTAATTAACAGCCAAAAAACATTGAATTAAGTGTAACAAAGTTATAAAACCCACTAATGCTTAACCCTATTCAAGGTGTTAGCAGTATTAAACACCAGATTTCAATTTTATCATCATGTAATACACATAAGCGCTCAGTAATTCTTTCAAATTCACTAGCTGTCATAAAAACAACTGAAATGTAGCATTCCTTATCAATTTTGCCATTATGCCAGCTAGTCAGTAAATCTTAAAGCAAACAAAACAAGCTGCAACATATAAGTGTTAGTAGGCTGAACAGAATCCCCTCTGACCTATATAGCGCCCAAACTGCATGCTAAAAGCCCCTGAGAGAGCGGAGCAAATGTGCTCACTACAGCAATCTGTCAAGAGTCATTATTGCTGGGCTCAATCTGGCAAACGGACCCCCGAGGGCCGGGATATGCCATGTCACTGCACCGTTTCGAATGGGCACTATTAGGTTAACTAAGATGTGCTCAGCTATGTTGGTGCCTGCTGTACTTCATAGAGATTTCCAGCTCGCATGTGCTCCCGTTTTACAAGCTAGTGCTTGTTAAGAGCTGAGGTTGTGCACAGATGGAATGTGCCGTGCTGAGTTTGCAATGTTGTACTTCGCTGGTTTGTTTGGAAGCACACTGATGGATCTTTGTTTGCATGATACTGTCTATGCTGTAATATATTGCCTGATGGGCAGGGGAAAAAATGAGACCTAAAATGGGTGGAAAGCTACTTTAATTATAATTCTGTCGCCATTCTAAACTGCTATCAGTTCTTCACACTCAAAAAAAAAAAAAAAAAAACTGAAGACATCTCTTGTTTTACACAAACATCAAACAGGATTTAAAATTTAAATGTTAAAGAAAGTCAGCATAATGTAAAATTAAAGCAAACCATGTTTAAATTATGTTATTTTGATGTTTTTTTTGTCATGCAGATCCCACAACCATTCTTTCCAATAAAAAGTTCATACTTACACTGAACGGCATACGATGCAAGGAGTGCGGCAGTATTGTGCGGACAGGGCAGTCTGTGAAGGATATAAATTATATTAAATGAACAGTATAACATGTTGAAGATCAAACCAAATGGGTCCAAAATTACTGTACTTAAGCAACCATTAAAGAACATGCAAGCACAAGCAACTGCAAAAGCAAAATCTGCAGTGGAACCACAAGATAAGTATCAAAGGAATGATCTATACTGAAGATATAATCAATTACAGCTGAATATAACACACAGCTACTCCTGAAAGAGCTATAAAACTGTATTAAGCAAAAGAAATAAAAGCCACACATCGTCCAGCTCACCTTCCACTGAGTATGTCTTGCTTAATCTGTAGAAAATACTGGTACCTAAACAGATGACAGAACAAACGAACAAAAACATAATGTGTGAGTTATTGGACTAAAACCAACTTATGTGTTTTATATGGAAGATTTAAATATGTAAAAGAAGAAAAAAAATAATTATATATATATATATATATATATATATATATATATATATATATATATATATATATATATATATATATATATATATATATATATATATATATATATATAAACACAGAATGAACTAATTACTTTCAAGAAATATTACATACTCCCTTCCTGAAGTAACCTAAGTTTAAAAAATCCATAAAAAAAACTTGCAAAAAAGTCAGGGTTTCAGAAGAAAAACAAGAACTGTTAAAGGTATTCGAGTGAAATATTCAATGGATAAACTACAAAATAAACTGTATGAAAAGTAGTGTCTGTATTTTATGGTAAGGTACACAAGCAAACACAAAGAAAATTAATGCAGCAGGCTAAAAATAGATATTCCTCTGATATTCTTGTTATAGTATGTAACATTAAAACACCAAGTGTTTCCTTATGAAATTCTAACACAAGGTTGCCTCAAGTTCGTAAAATAGGATTATTATTTGAAGGTAATACTTTTCATTTATAGCAGCAAAGAGGTTCACCTTGCACTCTAGCTATAGATGTGATTTGTTAATGCATTCTCAGAGTATTGAACTCTTGATGACCATGGCAAGCTACAAGAACACTATAAAGAGCTAACTTTATCACTATGATTCAGTATTAATCACATCCCTGTTTCAGGTCAGGATGTCAGCAAATGTAACGTAATCCTGTTTTACTCATCTCTTTTCTAAACTCTAGATATGACAAGAGATTTAAGCTTAAAGGTGCAGTAGGTGACTGTCTTCAGAAACATTTTTTGTTGTGCTGGTTAAAAGTCTCTTCAACCAGTTCCACTAACATTCCACTAGTACCGTTTTAAATAAATGACCTAAATGTGTATGTGTGTGTGTGTGTGTGTGTGTGTGTGTGTATATATATATATATATATATATATATATATATATATATATATATATATATTAAACTATTTTCAGTTTTATAAGGGACCTTTTACAGGATCGAAAATGTAGATTTTTATTTAGTTTCACAAAAAAAAATCAAGTAAATAGCGCTATTCCGCCTAGCCTGCTTTACTGAGGTGAAGTTGCTTTTGTGTTCACACTGGTTCATTTTTTAACAATGCCAAACTGTGACGCTGCCCCTATATTGTTTACCATGCAAGTATGGCTTATGGCGCAATAAGCGTAATTCTTGCACGCCACCGGCCAACCTCTAAGCATTCAGTAGTCGCTTTAGGACAGCACGTGAGAGAGTGAGACTGATGAGAGAGTGATGGCACGTTTTGCTTGCTAAGTACATAACTGAAAATGTGCTAGATATTATACAGATTTCATTTAGAATTGTAGTATTATAAGTACTAAAAGTTTTCTAACTGGCAAATAGCATGATCTAGTGGTTCGCTGTCATCTTTATCATGTGCGATTGCGATTTCAGGAGGCGTGGCTTTGGACAACAGAGAAGGGATTGTATTTAAAAGATACTATGCCAACTGGTTAGCATTAGGGCAGATCACCTACTGCACCTTTAATGAATACTGGCAATGTACTGTATATCAAAGACCCTGTAATATCAAATATTCTTTTAGAGTAAATTCTGGCATAACAATTAAAAAACGTGTTTCAAATGTTCAAAATTGTTTGTTTTTAGAAAACAAAATCTTTCTTTCTGGAAAATAAACCAAAATATCAATGATTTTGTGATGAGATTTGGTGAAAAATAATCTAAAATGAACACTAAAGCCAGTTTTCCGGTACACGTCAGGGTACAGTTAGGCATTACTCAATTCTAGGGGGTGTAACGATACACTCAGCTCACGATACAATGTGTATCACAATATAATGTTCACAATTCGATATGTATCACGATATTTGGAATAAAAATTGAAAATTAAACTGAAATGCAAATTTTACCAAGTAAACAATTTTTTTATGTATTTCTTTTGTTTTAACTTGTTAAACTGAACCTTCTTTAAGAAAATAAATTAAACAGGCCTGTCTCTGGATAATAAAACAATTTAAAAACTTCTTAAAAAATATTATTGAAATGACAGAGACAAAATTAAGGAACAATTTAAGTAAAGGTGCAAAAAAATAAGCTTTCTATTCAATTGAATTTAACAGTAAGAGATTAAGGCTTTGCTTGGTCACTTGCGTTTTTTGTGTGTGCAAAAAATATCCACATTTCCAGGTAATCAACAGTTCTATAAGATGATCCTGAACTTATGTGTATCTGTCTGAGAGGTTTTTATGGATGGCTGTCTTCATGTTGGGCATGATGAGTGACAGGGTGGCCGTCTTTTCATTACACAGGACAGTCGTGGCTCTTTTCAGCAGTTTAGACAGGTTTACTATTTCTTCGGCATCGCTGATGTCGGCGCTATCAAGTGTATCATGTTGACGTGCATTTTTGTGTACCTCTGTACTCAAAAGGGTTAATGCTCGTCATAATCATAACTCTAAAATGCGATATGATTGTTTAAATAATGTGTACGTTTTCGGTTTCATTTCCACTGCTAAGTGCTGTTCATACTTCCCACGCGGCTCCTGAACGATCACTCTGTTTCACAAACTGAATGTTGTTTACTACTTTATTACCTGTTAGTCACAACCTGCAGGTTCTGTTCACTGAAGCAGACGCGCGCATATGGCAAGCCGTTTTTGCATTTAAACCTTTGTTCTGACTATCCATAAATATATTTAATTAATATTTAATTAAATTCATTTTGAGATATCTCTAATTACAATTGTGACTAGTCAAAACTCATTTAGAGATATCTGCAAATATTTTTCAATGGAAGTCAATGGAGGAATATGACTAGTCATAAAATATTTGCAGATATCTCCAATCTGATTTCGTACTAGTACAATTGTAATTGCAGATATCTCTAATTGTCATTCTGACTAGTCGAATTATAATTATGACTAGTGAAAATATAATTAGAGATATCTCTAAATATATTTATGGATAGTCGGAACAAAGGTTAAAATGCTAAGACGGCTTGCCATATGCGCGCGTCTATCGTAGTCCGCCCTCTGTAGTAACAGCTTACGTTCAGCTCACGTCATGTGTGATTTTGCGGCCACGAGCACATCATTATATGAAGACAGAATGATATTTTAGGGTGAATTGTACCTTATAAACACAGTATGTAACTCTTTCAACAACATTAGGAGGTATCCATGTCGTTGTGCAAAGTATGTAAATCACTGTGAAGACTTTAAAACTTAGGATGTTTGACCCAGTATGCGTGTCAAAAAGCGGACGAGTCTAAAGCAATGACTGTACAACCGAAATGTTGCCAGACGTCTGATTTTGAGAGGATGGGCCATCCTCTATTTTAGCTCCACTCATCTTGGTCTGCTAACATTACTGCTGCTGCAATCTGAACTCATGTGCGACAGCAGGTGGAAGGTAGCTCACGTGCAAACAGCTTATCTAATAAGAGAAAACGGATGTCATACCGTAATCAAATCGTCATAACGCCACGATGCATATTGAGACATTTTTGCATCGCAATAAATCGTACAACGATAAATCGTTACACCCCTACTCAATTCAGTTTGCATATCAACTGCAGGTTTAGTATTGCTGTGACATCATCGTACACATGACAAAAACAAAAGTGCAACACAAACCAACCCACAACATCAATAGATGAAATAATGTTTTTGATTGTCAGTATGTGGTTGTATATCACTGCAAAAGACAAAAATTTGTTCCAGCAGATGCTAATAGCAAAAACTTTTCTGTCATGGTCATTGCGAACCAACAATACAGCAGCAGACTATTTGGTGAAGTTTGATGAAGTTATTGGTGAAGTTTGTTCCTCGCCACTGGCTTGCTTGGTTTGGCAATTGTGGAGCTGCGCATCGATGGATTTGCTCTTCTGAAACTGAACTAAACTGAACTTCAACCCTGAAAACTGGATTGGCACTAGGGTTGGGTCAATAGAAGATGCCATTATCCACAGCCGAATTGCCGACAGACATCAAGATGCACAAACCAACTCGCGAAATATGCACTCTTAGACCCCGTTTACACTAACACAGCTTAGTTTTGAAATGGCATTTTAGAACGAAAACGATCCACGTCCACACTGGCGTTTCATCTAGCATTTCTGAACAACGCTTTGTCCACACTAGAGCGGTGCACGTTGAACAGTTTATCAAGGATGTACCGCTCGATTGCGTCTCACTATAGTCGTTAAACATGATATTTAATTCATCTCGTCTCTATCTAACGACTCTTTGATCTTTTGAATCTATAAGGGAATGCGTCAAAGTGTCAGTACACTGCTTCAATCTTTCACTTTCACACTTGTACTTTGGTTGGTTTTGCACCTTTTTTACCAACTAAGCTTATTGACGCCATTATAACAACACAAATTACTCTGCCTATTCATGCCAGAGTCCCAAGGAAAATTGATTGATAGGTGGTAATTTGTGTATAACTTATCTTTTTTTTGTTATGATTTGGTTATGGGTAAAACAAAGACGGGTCAGGTAGTTGAAACGGTAGGCTACAAATGATTATTTCATTATGAATTAATTGTTCATAAATAAATAATTCACCGCCGCCTATGACGACAAGGCCATTATCCATCGAGATGCTTCACATTAGACAAGGTACAATGCCAAATTGGTCGACATAGTCCAACCCTAACTGACACAGTTTCAGTTTACTAGAACTTCTGTTAAGCTGCTTTGACACAATCTATATTGTAAAAGCACCATAGAATTAAACACAAAGTGAAGTTAATTGAATTAAATATTTAAATAAATAGCTTTGGTGTCTCCAGTCAAATTCAATGCTGGTAGTGATGATTTGGAGCAATCAGTGATCAGCAAATTTCAATCAGTGATTAGTTTGCTGTTTTGGTAATGGTACAGCTTCCTTGTAACCTAACAAAAGTGCCAGTTATTTGGAAGGGGATGCAATGCAAAAGGCGCAAAAAGTGAGCTGAACCGATTTAGGGTATACCATGCAGTGAAAAAGCACCATAAAGGAACCGTTAAACAAAGCAGAAAGTTCATAGAGTCTTTTATGGCCGCATGCTGGTCTGTTATTGTAAGGATATTTACATGTCCCTAAACAATACTCTGAACAAAACAAACTGTTCCTGGTTGATTTCATGCCAGTCAAACGTCCACTAGGTTGGTACCAAATAAAATCTGTGATGAGGTCAGTTATTCAGTCTGGATATGCGAGATGAGGTTTTGCATGAGTCCCCAAATTTAAAGTGCGACCACAATTTGACTTCTCACACCAAATAAAAACGCAAAGTCCAAATTGACAAACTCACCGTGTGTATTCTTCCTGAAGTTTGTTGGGGTCACTCACAAAGAATTTCACCCGGAAGTTCAGATGATGTGGGGAGCCCCCTGTCATTTAAGTCAGCACAACATGAATGTAGATACAAAGATGTGCAAATATAAAGCAAAAGGAAGAATAATTAACGTCTGGTGGCAAGCAACAGCTCAGTCCAGTGCTTTCAATAAAAATTACTTACTTTTTAATTGCTTCCTTATGGGTTTATTTGGATCCAGCCACCTCTATAAATTATTGATGGAGAGAAAGAAAGAGAGAGAGACAGGGATAAAGAGAGGAAGAAAAACCTTAATAACATGGCAACAGTCCAACACAACCTAATGCCACTCAATAATTCAATAGTCTTGTGTTTTGTTCTGTGGAGAGGTGGAGATGTACTTATCTGCAGTTACAACACAAAGAGACAAACTGACTGTTTTAAAGTTACAAACAAAGCAAACTCTTGAACTTCGATTTTACTTTAGCAATCAATATAATTGATCAGTGTTTTCAGACATAGATAAATGCAGGTGAAGCATTAATGTTGAGAGTATACATAGAAACCCAACATGTCTATTAAACAATTGCTTTCTTCTAAATTACATACTTTAAGACAACGAATGTTCGTAATATATTGCTAAAATATACAAACACTTGAGGAGAAAATTAACAAGTCAAACAAGATTCTAAGTCACACAACTTTTTGTATTTTTAGAGTTTCAGAGTATTTTATTTATCTTGTTATCATATTATTTGCATGGTTAATGTCATTAGATATGCTGCAGCACATCAAGAACTGTGCAAACATTTTCAGTCAAGTATAGTACACTCATAGTTTATTACTGGATATTAGGTTGGGTAAACTAAAAAAAAAAGAGATGCTTTAAAGCAGAACCACTGTGTGCCCTACATTCCTAAAAGTGAACCTATTTTAGGAATTCGGGAATAATGTTTAAAGCAAACCCCTAGTGAGTCGTTGAGGGCCAACCAGCATGGCTCTGGCACATCTTTGAGTTTGACCTTTGAACTCACCGGACTATCAGAGGGCTCGTCGGCCAGGTGCAACCCAAAATAGTCTCTCTCGGTTAGTTCCAGGTGCTTGAAGACAGCGTCCAGTAGGATCTGTCCTTGATCGTGCTTCTGTAAAGTATGCGCACACACACACACACACACACACACACACACACACACACACACACACACACACACACACACACACACACACACACACACACACACACACACACACACACACACACACACACACACACACACACACAAACATTTTAGTTGCAACTATTAAACATTAAGTAATTTTTTTTTTTACTTTTTGTTTTGGTGGGGGGTTGGGTTAACTCGAACAGATTTCTGAAATTTACTCAGCTCAGATTTTGGAATTGGCCGATATTTTTCTAAATAAAGGTAAAAAAATAAAACAAAATTAAAATAGATATTGAATGTACATCTTTAGATTTTGTACTGAAGTTTGCATGCCTGTAACTCAAGAAGTAACAAATATTCCATCTATTGTGTTTTGGCTTACGAAATTCTTTTAATCTTTGATATCCTATATGATTTATGTTTTTTTTAAGTGATTCCTTGCCAGATTTGACCCTCATTAAATTGAGATAAAAAGTGGGTCATTTTATATACTCAAAATCCTAAACCTATGGGAAAGAACTAGATAGGATCTTAAAAATGAAGATGGAAAATGGAAGACAAAAGAAAATGACCTTTAAAAAGTAAGCTATGAAAAAGACTTTGTTGAAATTTAAAACAAATAAGCAAACAAACAAAAAAGATTCAGGAAATATGTAGTTTACAAACATGTAAACCTCTGGGGAAAAAGGAGTACTTTCTGTTGCACAAGGCAAAAAAAAAATAGCTTAAGTCAGCACATTTTATTAAATGGCCAACCAGTCTCTGTGCAAATATGAAATCAGATGGTTGCTGTTGTCATCTTTTAAAGTCATATTAATCACCTCTAATTTGGCTCCAATAATGATGTGAAACCTCTATACTATTCTGACCTCTGTACTAAATAGTGTATTACTCAGAAAATGTATTTCTTTAGAAAAAAATAATAAGTTAAAGAGCCCATATTATGGGTTTTTGAAAATTCCCCTTCATGTATTGTGTAACACAGCTCTAAGTGAAGTGAAGTATCCAGCTAAGGCTTAAATCTGTTTGTGTACAGTGTAAAACGGTTGATTCATCTATGAAAGAGTCGACTCATAGTGCTTCAAACGAGTCGCCTTGATACCGATTCATTAGGTGTTTCGCCATGACGTACGAACGAAACCAAGTTATTCACGTGCACGCGCAAACCCGGGAGATTTCAAACCTGAGGCCCCGCCCTCTGACGCAGAAACCCAGACAGACACACACACAAACACACACCCACAAACACAAACATGCCGGTCGATTGAAGTCACACTGCAGATGGATATATTGAGTCTCTACCCAAACATGAAACCTCAGCATTATAGCCAAGCAGTTGGAAACTACTGGAAACTTCTGGAAGCTACATGCTACAAAGAATACTTCATCAGCGTTTGTTAAAGGAAGGATCAGTAAAGAGTAACTTATTGAGGGACGTCAGGATTTTTCTTCCTACCTTTCTCAAGTGTAAGTACGTGCGATTAAAGTTGCCTCGTTGACTCTAGCTTGCAAATGTATTTAGTTGTGATTTGTTACTTGTAACCGCGTGTACTATATCAGGTTAACTGGCTATATTCTCTTATCGCGTGCAAAGTCATGTAAAAACGCGACGCGTGCTGCGTTAACGGAGCTCCGTGGAAGGCGAGTTTTGTGTGTGTGTGTGTGTGTGTGTGTGTGTGTGTGTGTGTGTGTGTGTGTGTGTGTGTGTCTGTGAAAAGAGCAGAGTGAGAAGCTAGGAGATCTCCTCAACTGCTTTTGGAGTTTTTGCTCAATAAAATAGTCAGTCGTCTGTATTTTCAAGTCCATAGTCTGTATTTACATTGACCCACTGGCAGCTAAACTCCACGCCTACACCATCGAGCGTGTATGAACTGTGATTACTTTTATATTGCTGATTAGCTGTTTGGCATTTCACTCTGACTGAAGGCAGTCGACCAATCGCGACAGACTGTCATTGGTCCAATCAGCGCAGATTAGCTTCGCGCTAAGGAGGGGTTTGGGAACAAATGAATCACTGGACGATTCATACAGGAGTCGCTGGGATAATTAGGTAAAAATAAATGCAGATTATAAGACCATGAAAGTGTTTTTTGACCTTGCATGCATATTAAACTGTTGTTGGAGACCCTTACAACCAAGATATGACCCTATTTCATGTATAATATGGGCTCTTTAAAATATAAATAAATAATTTTTCCTATGAATTATTTGAATTATAACAATTATTTCATATTTATTTTATATTATTTATAAAAATTATTTCAACAATAAACAAAACTTCTATCCTCATTCCTTCAATTTTAACATTGTTCTGTTAGTGCTAATTTATAAATAAAGAGATCCCAGAGCACCTCAAGCATTTGATTAAAACTTAACCAAATAATTAAGCAGATATAAAAGCAAAAAGTGTATCATTGAATTCACCATTGTCACTGCAATAGTGCATATTTGTAGCAAAGCTGCTGACATCAGCAGAACAGACAAGGGAAATAAAAGTAACCAAACCCATATCTCAAGGCCAAGCCACTTTGGTTGTTAGAAACAGCGAGACGTAAAAAGAGGGTTTTATTGGCTGTCGGATCCGTTACAGCATCCTGACAGCAAAAGTGAGGCATTAGCAGAGCTTTTATTTCCTGTTTGACTCTTTCAAGTAATCCTAGAATGGCTAAGACCACATATTCTGAACACATGCCTCTTGAGAAACACAGACAGTTTGAACCACATACACGCAAAGTGTTACACAATAAACAAAATATGGCAACAATCACATCAGCGAAGTGAATGACAGGCCAGTTGAGCAGTCTAGCGCCTCTGCAAACTTTGTAAGGAAGTTCAGAAATATGGAGAACTCATTATATGTTGACTTCTTGTGGATGTTATTGGAGTACATTGAACTCACTGCTGTGTTCAAGAAACTTGCTGGCAAGAATATGACAACAGAATCATGGAGTTACTTTTTGTATGGTCACTTATTGGTATTTACTTCTGCTGATTGCCATTTATTATTAATGGATTAAGTATGATTATTTTTGCTTCTTCCTACTCCTTTTCAGACATGTACAAGTTAAAGTTGTATTGTATGGTTTATATAGTTTTTATTAGTTTATATTGTAAATATAAAATATAAAGTCTCAAAGAAACTAGTTAGAGAAGATTTAGGCTCTGTGTTTCTTTGTGTTTTCCTGCTGGAGGTAGCCATCACAGGACGGGGTTATAATGTTATGGACACGGTCAACAATATTAGTAACAATAGAAGTAGGCTGTGGCATTTAAACAGATGCTTAGTTGGTAATAAGGGGCCCAAAGTAGGTATGGGACGATTTCAATGTATACTGTGTATAGAGTCAAGGTTTTAAAACTGCCAAAATTATCTGCTTTACCGTTCCTATGCAACAGTGTCTCTAGCAAAAAGGAGCTCCAAAGATGCTGTTTCAAATTGTAAAGAAAGCTGTTTTTGAAAATAATGAAGACAGCAGAAGTCAATTATTCATTTGAATTATTTACTCTGACATGTTTACTGCTCTAAAATATTTCAAAGTTTTTGTTTTTTACCCAGACATTTAAAAATAATATATTTCAGAGCAGTAATTTCAATACAGTGATACAGTGATATATTTATCCAAGGTTATAATACTGTCAGAATCTTATAACAGCCCAACCCTAGCCCAAAGTATGGGTTCACAACATGACACTAACAGCCTACACCACTTATTCAAGTAACATTGGATCCATGTTTTGTAAAGCTCATCTGAATACAACACTCATGCCTCATCAGACCAGGCAACACTTTTCCAGCCTTAAAGTACTCTTTTTGGTGACACTGTGGACATCCTTTGACCTCTGGCATCAATAACTTCTCCAAAAGAAATGTGTTTCACTGGACATTTTCTGTAAACCTTAGACATGGTCATGAAAATTAAAGCAGATCATCAGCTTCTGACTCACATCAGTCCATTTGGCACCAAAACCTATGCCACATTAAAAGTCATTAAATCAACTTCTTCACTATTTTGATGCTTAGATTTTGATGAACAGGAAATTGTCTTGATCAGATCTACATGCATAAACGCTTTGTCTTATTGCCATGTGGCTGATTAGACACTGTAGTTAACACAGTTAAACATATTATCAGTAGTGTCCATCAAGATAACTGTTCTGAATACCAAGAAAATAGGTTTAACAACATTACTGTAAATTCAGCCTTCATTTACAGCATTTCTAAAGCTTCAATAAATAATAACATTTTGGTAATGAGTAGGCCTGGGCATTATTGCAAAAATAATAATGATATGATGTTTCATATCATTCAATGCCAATATGTTTATAATATATTTTTAACAATCCATTTAGGAACATTAGAATTATTTTTATTTAACCACTTTATTTTAATTTTATTACATTATACCAAGGCAAATAGTTTTAATATTAAAAAATAATTATATTTTAACCAAATGTTTCATCTTTTTGTAATATTATAAACATAAGTGTTAAAAATAATTTTAAATTTGATAAATAAAATGTTTTTAAGTGTGTGCAATGGTAAAGGTAGATCAACATCTGTAAGGTGTCAATAATAATGATACAGTAATCCTCAAACACTCTTCATCACTTTCTATGGAATCTCTTGTCACTTACACCAAAAGCTTATTTGCATACCTTCCAAGGCCAGTGCTCAGCAGCTACATTTTAATAAAACTACAGCCTTCATACAAAACTTTTTTGTATCGTTATTGACCGTGATTTTCAGTCAATAAATAACAATACCGATTTTATCGTCCAGCTCTAACAATAAGATCATTTTTTGTGTGTGCAAATCTGCAGTTAGGAAGTGACTGTTTCAGTGGTTAAAAAATGTCATGTTGCTACCAGAGCTTTGTAATTTATTCAAGCTAATATTTATTCAAATAAAGTGAAAACAGCAGAATAGCATCTTGTAATGTTTATAAGCAAAGCTTATTTTAAAAGTTTGATATGAAGAA